GCAACTGTACTAACAGTGTACTAACATGGTAACTCCTCAGGAACTGTCCACTTAATATAAAGTGTAAAATGATCATAACTTACTGTGTATTATGCAAAACCCAAACCTCTGTGCAACTGTACTAACAGTGTACTAACATGGTAACTCCTCAGGAACTGTCCACTTAATATAAAGTGTAAAATGATCATAACTTACTGTGTATTATGCAAAACCCAAACCTCTGTGCAACTGTACTAACAGTGTACTAACATGGTAACTCCTCAGTAACTGTCCACTTAATATAAAGTGTAAAATGGTCATAACTTACTGTGTATTATGCAAAACCCAAACCTCTGTGCAACTGTACTAACAGTGTACTAACATGGTAACTCCTCAGGAACTGTCCACTTAATATAAAGTGTAAAATGATCATAACTTACTGTGTATTATGCAAAACCCAAACCGTGTGGGCGGAGCTAAATAATCACGACACGAGCGCGCGAAGCTGTGAGTGACATCCGAAAATAAACCATGGCTAACAATCAGATAGTAATCCCATGCAGAACAAGGATCTAAACAATACTAAGGGCTCGTTCATAGAGAACGCGTGAGATGGGCAGTGAAATGGGTGAAAAACATAAGGTCTCGAGCGTTTTTTTTAAAAATAGAAATGATTTGAACTTGAGTGCAGTGTTTTTAGAACACCATGTCATGCGCGAGTTTTACAACATTTGTGTGTTGTAAACAGACAGACTCGTGGTTTATGAGGACATGATTTATTTTTACAATAAACAAACTGACACCTACAGTGGCCAGCTAAACAAATGTATTTAAACACACACACACACACACACCCCCATACATCGCATGCTCCATAGATACATTAACTGTATGTGATCATGTTGTTTACTTGCTGTGCTTACACGCCGATAGTTAACAACTCACAGACATTTGAAGCAGTTTTACTCACCGCCTGCGGTTCCAACGCACGACCGTGAACCTTTATCGTTGGGACTGCTCCATCTTTAAGTATTAGGCGATCTGCAAATCCGGCGTTGAACTGGGCCCCTTTATAAAACTATTACCGTCGAAATGAAGGGAACAAACAAAAACACTTGCACAACTCTGTTGCTGCTCTGGAAAAACAAAATCCATCCACAGGTCCCTTAACGCTGGGTTCTTTGGAAATTTGTGCAGTGTTGTCTTGCCCTGGCAACCAAAAACACACTTTTTTGGTGCCATTTTTTTAATTGCAGCGCAGCCGACCGAGCCCAGCGCTCTGATGGGCATAGGCTACTCTCGCACGCACTAGGCTACAGATGCGCGCGCGCCCTTCCGGGAGAAGTGCCCTTAAGACCCGTATAAGGAAATTCCGGCGACTCTGACGTCACACACGCCCGTATTCGAAAAAAACTTTCCGAAACTTGTGACAAACCGGAAGGAGTATTTTTGGAACAGAAATACTCCATCAAACTTACAACTTCATTTTTGAAACTTTGTCCATGTTTAGCATGGGAATCCAACTCTTTAACAGTGTAAAAAACTGTTTTTTTACCCCCCCCACCCCCCCTTTAACAATCATATAACTATACGTTATAATTGATTTAAACTATATACAATTCTTATTAATCCTGAAATTAAGTCAGGGTTACATCGACAACTTAAATTTTGAACGACATCCACGACATCAGTGTGTGAAGAAATACTCAGACATGTTCAGCGCTGATGCTTACAGTACAATTCTGAGATTCTAGCCGAGAGTTACTGTAAAGTGCATTATGTTGTAGTGTATGTAAATCAGGAGTGCATACAAATACACCATTGTAAAAGTATGTCTTTCAGTATCACTTACTTACTACAGTAAATTGCTTTAAATTTATTTACAGAGAGGGTTTGAATTGGATTCCATGCAAAGTCCCCATGAATGCATTTTTGGAGATGAAGCAGGGTGCAGTCTTACGAAGAGAAGAAGGAGAGGCAGAAACGTAATTGGCCAATGTGCAATAGTGGAAGTCCCTGGACAGTGTGGCGGCAATCTCACCCTTCTAGCAGCCATTAGCCATCATGGGGTTCTTCAGCACATGCAACCCTGGGGCCATGCAATACTGGACATCTTCTCACATTTCTGGATGGTCTAAGGAGTGTTTTGTTTGAGCGAGAGCAGCAGTGCTTCCCGTCTATGTCATGGTTTGGGACTAAATTGGGACGGTGACAGCTTTCACCGAATACGACAGTGGTTCAACTACAACCATTCATAACTGCATTCCTTCCACCATACAGGCCTTTCCTCAACTGATCAATTCTAAGACATGATCCTGAGAATAATTCGTTGTTTTCTTTTTTCTTTTTGTAGTATTTTCATTGTAGCCTACTTAGATGTGATTTGTTTAGTTTTGTGTGCTTTTTATTTTTTTTTGCAAAATGTTTACTATACACAATAAACATTTTTTTGTAACTACATGCCCTGATGCTGTGTTCTCCATTTTTTATGTAGTGTTTAATGAATGATCTGTAGTGCTTACGAAGCAAGGCAGAAATATCCAAAACACAAGGCAAACAGGAAAAAAATACAATAAATTCCAAGGTAAAAAAAACTGGTTAAATGCTCAGAATGATACCCAAAGGGAATAATAACTGTCAAAATGAATGATAATCTTCTCAACTGGAGTGTGTACAAGCTGTGCTAAATATAGCCAGACTGATGAGCATGATGCCGTTGAGGAGAGCTGTGACCCGGAAGTCAAACCTCAGGAGACGACGGACTCCCTCCTGTGGAGAACCGCTGCTATTTCAGGCTGGACAATCTGGGTTTTACAATGTCCTCAAAATGTTTGCGCAAATATACGTGGTTCGTGGAAGTTTTTTTTTTTTTTTGGAACCTTTAATTGGACATTCGTCTTATGTATTTTTTAAACATCTACTTTTTTGATCATTAAAGATAATTGAAAAAAAATTAAGTTAAAGTCACAATACACATGTATAAGGAACTAAATAATAAATGTAAGTTTTAGTAACACTATTTTGATGGTCCCTTTTGAACATTCAACATTGCAACTACATGTTAACTAACTATCATTAGAGTATTAGAAGAATATCTGCTTAATATCTGCTAACTCTTTATTGTGATGCTCCTCTAACATCTATACGTATCTTTGCATCTACATGTCAACTTATTCTAACCCCAATAATAGATTTGACTGACTTTGTTGAACCTATTGCATTACTGTAGGCAATCAGGACTTCAAACTTCCCCTTCTGAAACAGCCATTCATTTTTATTATTTACAACTCCACTTTTTAAACCAATGTCTGCAGATGGAGTCAAACCACAGAAAATAATGAAATATTTGACTTTAATTCATGCGACAGCAAGTGTGGTTTGCTGCAATGTTGGGATTGATCTGTTGGCTTCTGAATCACATAAACATGTAAATGCTGACTTCAGTGGCCTATATAACAGCTTGCTGATGACTATGTTATTGTAATGTCTTAAGAAAGAGCTCTTCATTGAAGGCTTTAACACAGAACAACAGTACTGACAGTAACAGCACATACGCAGCACTAATATTTACTCATATGGCGCTTCCTGAACTACCAGCTTTAACCCCGTAAATGCTGGTGCTAAAGAATACAGCAAATCACAACTATTACAGACTGCTGCGCTACATTATTGTTATTAATATAATGTTATAATGCTGTTATATAAATGATCTTATCAAGGCTTAATACAAATATAGAAACATTAAATAACAACACAAACATTATAAATAAAAACTCAAGCGATAAATTGTACAATACGAACTATAGCCCTGACACGGTTCGGCTATATGTTTATGATTTGTGGTCGATGATGCTCATCACATCATGAACTTAGTCTTAAATACAGAAAGGACACCGAACACTAAAGGAGACAGAGAAGGTCTTTTCACGCACAACACAAACAAAATATTCTGCATATGCTGAAAGGATTCAGACTTCAGGACTTCAGACACAGTTACTAGAATCAATCAAGTTGTTTGTGTCTCGGTCACGTGACCCAGCGAAGTGTTGTGAAGGACATTCTGGTCCAGGAAGGGTTGCGCAACAGCATGAGATTAAAACTTTTGCCAGATGTGATGCATTATGTGCCATAACTCTGAATCTGAGACAGTAGAGTACATTCTGAGACAATTTCTGATAACTGAATGTACTGTAGCCTATACAAAAGAATGAACGTATGATCATAGGTCCTATACTTTTTTTCTGTGTTCATCATCTGCCTCGGGATTTTTAAACAAAATTGAAAACACTTACTTTATTTATATTATAAGTAAAATATTATTTTATGAACATATTTTTTTGTTTAAATTGTCCACATACAAAAAGATAGACTAAGAAGTCTACATGTAAGCACTGTAAAAATTAAAAGACACTATATGGTGTTTATCTGATCACATCATAATTTGATTTTACTTTTTGGACATATAAATATCAGCAACTGGACGACATGGCATATTTTTGCTCAGTTTAGGCCTCTGAAAAAGTCAATTATTTTTAAATCTGAACTCCCTTTTCTTAAAACAATAACAACAACACTTCCATCTTGGAAAAAATATGATTTTGTTATTTTTTGATCCAGAATATGTGGAAACATTAGCCTGAAAAAGTCAATTATTTTTAAATCGGAACTCCCTTTTCTTAAAACAATAACAGCAACACTTCCATCTTTGAAAAAAAATATGATTTTGTTATTTTTTGATCCAGAATATGTGGAAACATTAGCCTTTTCTTTCTTTTTCTTTCTTTCTTCTGTCTTTACTTGACGACTGACGGTCTGAAGGAACAAATGATTCATGAACATTAAAAAACCCGGAAACGGATCAAATTATGTTTAGAGGGAGAACCAAGTTAGACGTTACGTAATATTTGTTAAAAATATGAAGATTACCTTCTTTAATTCGTGAGCTAGCGAATTTATTTTCAAGTTAACTAAAATAAATCAGATAAAGGATAGCCATTTAGTTGCTTTTATTCATTTTCTCAGTATTCCCGTCACTGATCCCCCCTCTGCAAATGGACTAGTCCAGCCTTTATTAAGCTGCTGCTAGCCGCGTGTGAGGAAGTGTGCTCGCCATTTTACTTTTGTTTGGTTTACTCTTCGGAAACAGTTGTCTTTCATCAATTATTTCGGTAAGTTTTGCTTTAAAGTGGTGTTTTTAATGGTAAACCTTGTTCGTATTTCATTTTTTTTCTTGTGTGATTGACCCAGGGAGCCATTTTTATGGCATTTTGAGTTTTCACGGTACCTACGCAGTTTGGAAAAGAATGGAATTTGATTTTAGTTTTGTCCAGATTTGGATGAGAATGGACAAACAGTTGCGTTTCTAGACTATTGACCCTAATTTAGTATTTTCTAAAATATAAAATTAAAACGTTTCTAAAAATAAACCTATTGTACGAGTAGGGGGTTTTCATGACACAAGACTAGTGATTGTCGAACACAACTGAATTAATTCAAGGAACACGCTTTCATTCGTGCGAAACTGTGTCTTTATTATAAGCGAGTCTCTTTTGAACGAATGTGTGTGTGCCACTCAAACCAGCTGTAGATAAATGAGCTGCTGCAAACGATCATCTGGCTGCTGTACTTTACAGTTTACTGACCGTGCATCACACAATGACCGCAGTCACCCGGAAGGGGCGGGGCTAGAGAGGGGCGGGGCTTAATTCGCAGGTCGCTCACTGGATGAGAAGCGCGTCTTTAAAATAAGAAAACATTTTAGGGTCCCACATTATAATGCATTATTATTTTACCAAATCCTTGTTAATGTACATAAAGACTTCATCCTTTTAATAGAAACGGTATTGATTGTAGTTGGATTATTTATATATATATATATATATATATATATATATAATAATTTAGACTTTTTTTTTTTTTCATTTAAGCTTAATTTGAGACTCAATCGCCTTTTTTTTTTAGAATAGAGGTCACATTCTCCCACGATTCTGAAAACAAAACATTAGACAACCAAACAAAATGTGTAATTTACTTGAGGTTCTGACAAAATGTTCTATTTAATGTTATGAGTATTTATAACTGTCTGAAGTGTTATAGGCTAGATAAGTTTATTTTAAAATAATGTATTCGTTTTTGAACAAATCCATCAAGTACATTAAGACCCTTGTCGCCACCTACTGGCATAATATAGCACATCCCAGCTTACCGTATTTGAAGTGTAACATTACTAAAGGTCAATTATTGCTCATTCTGATCGCAGCTGCCACAACATCAGTCTAAATCCTGACTATAACGTTTATCCCATTACTTTTTGTTATGTGTTTGCGACAGAAATATAGCCTACTGTGAGGTAGAAAAGACTGTTTGTGAAGCAGTTTTAAACCTAAAGCTTACATTATTTGTTCTTTCTTTTAAGGTATCTTTTATGAGTACTCAAAAGCAGCAGAAGCCAACGCTAACAGGCCAGCGTTTCAAGACACGCAAGAGAGGTTTGTCTTTATTTTATTTAAAAGTTGTACTTTAGTGAACTAGATTTAAATTTCTTTGTATTTGTGTTAATGTTGATGACTAATATAGTCACCTGTCGCCACCTACTGGTGTAATGTTAATGATGCTTCAATAACTACTATATCAAGATACTTTCAAAAGTTGATTTTTGATTTGTTCTTTTAATCGCTTCCATAGTGTTTATATCCAAACTATGAACTTTTATTCCAGTACTTCTGTGATATTAATATTTGTAACACGGAAATAGCGATACTGTGTGAGGTTGAAAAGGTTCGTCATAGTTACTGAGATCTAGGCACGTCACCTCACTTTCTTCTGCTTTTCTTCCGTGTGAACAGATGAAAAGGAGAGATTTGACCCTACCCAGTTTCAGGAACACATCGTACAAGGACTAAATCAAACTGGCCCTGATTTGGAGGCTGTTGCCAAGTTCCTAGATTCCTCTGGTGCCAAGCTTGACTATCGGCGCTATGCAGAAACCCTGTTTGATATCCTGGTGGCTGGTGGAATGCTGGGTAAGAGGACGTCTGGCTCTTTCGAACCACTTTGTTTCAGCAGTGAATTATAGTGTTTAACTGGAGCGTTTCCATCTGTCGTTGTTCAGCTCCGGGAGGTGCCATATCTGACGACATGACTCGCACCAACTTCTGTCTCTTCACCGCAGAAGAAGATGTGACGACCATGAGAGCGTACGCTCAGGTATCTGGAGTCTCTGTTGGGAATCTGGGTCAAGGGCCCTGTTTACAGCTGGTGTTAAGTGCTCGACGCTCTGAGCTCGTCCACTTTCGTACTGTAAACGCTCATGTGTTCGAACAGCCACAAAAGCCCGTCTACTCTCCACCTATTGATCTAATGCGTGAACATTATGGCAAGTGCGCGAACCAGACGAGATTGAAACCAAGAACCAAGTTTGAAAACCTACCAAACACGATGTTTTCTCACCATTCCTGATTTCTAACACACTCCCGGTGTAGCAGACTCCATGTAGATTGCACAAGCTTATTTTGTTCATTAGATCAATACCCTCCGCTTGAAGAAATCAGGACAGAAGTGTTTGAAATTAGACAGAAGAGACGGATTAGGTGTGAACGGGAATGTCTCCCTCGTCTACTTGTGAACCGTTCGACCTAAACGCATCTAAGTACCAGCTGTAAACCGGGCCTAAAAATCTGAGACCTTCTCAAATTGACCTCCTATTTATGTGTTTTAGGTTTTTAACAAGTTAATCCGGCGTTACAAGTACCTGGAAAAGGGTTTTGAAGAGGAGATCAAAAAGGTAACTTGAATCAAATATCAGCCGATAACATTTAAACTTGTAAAGACCAACGACTCGAGTTTCTGTGTATTTTCCTCCAGTTGCTGCTGTTCCTAAAAGGGTTCAGTGAGTCCGAGCGCAACAAGCTCGCCATGCTCACTGGCATCTTACTGGCTAACGGGAGCATATCCGCCTCGATCCTGGGCAGCCTCTTCAACGACAACCTGGTCAAGGAAGGTACGTCTGACATGTGCTCGGGTTTGCTCTGATTGGCTTGTTTTCATACTAAACGTGTTGCTTTAATAGGAGTGTCTCCGGCCTTCGCTGTGAAGCTGTTCAAAGCGTGGATCACTGAGAAGGACATTAACTCTGTGGCTTGCAGTCTGCGTAAGGTCGGCATGGACGACCGGCTGATGGTGAGTCCGAGTGCATCCGAATCAGCCTTTATTAGCAACTACAATACACGCCATTTTATTTCTATAGCACAGTGTTTCCTAATCCTGCTCCTGAAGGACCCCCAACACTGCACGTTTTCTTTGTCTCCCTCATCAAACACACCTGATTCAGCTCTGCTCAGATCAGAGTGTGTGATTATTGTGTTATGGTAATCCTCATCTCTGAACCGGTCGTGTGTGTGTCTTGTGTTGCAGGAGCTGTTTCCGGTGAACAAGCGCAGCTACGAGTATTTCTCCAAGTACTTCACCGACGCTGGGCTGAAGGAGCTCTCTGACTTCTCCCGTAACCGGCAGTCGTTAGGAGCTCGCAAGGAGCTTCAGAAGGAGCTGCAGGAGCAGATGGCCCTGGGCGTCTCCTCCACAGAGGTCCGTGACACGCTCTGCTGCAGAATCTGTGTTTCAGGACTCCCGTGTGTGAAGAGAAATCATGATCTCTGCTCTTCCTTCCAGATTATCGCCAGCTGCAAGGAGGAGATGAAGCGCAGCAGCATCTCTGAGCAGAAGATGGTCGGGATCATGTGGACCAGCGTCATGAGCTTGATGGAGTGGAACAAGAAAGAGGAGCTGGTCGCGGAACAGACCATCAAACACTTGAAGGTTAGACTCGAGCTACATCTACATTATTCTGGATACACTTGAGAACATCTGTCTCGCACTCTTGAATATTTAATAAAACACAAGATGACTGTGATACCAAGACGTCAAATAGAAGTATTCTGTAGGGCCCTATGAAATCAGTTGGTTATTTCCCCCCCCTGTTCATTTTTGGATTTCCGTTTTAACGGTTACATTTAAGTAATCAACAAGCTGGTCTAATAAATTGTACAAGTTTCATGATTTCAATTAAAGTTTAACAAATTACATGGTTTAGGGCCTTTTTTCCCCCCTCAATTTAGCTGCTTTAGTGTTCGGTCTTCTGGATTCCGTTTTAATGGTTTAAAAAGCACGTCTAATTGAATTCATAAAAACATTCAATTTAATTTCTTTGTCCCCCCTCCCCAAATTCAGTGTGTATTTTAATTTTGGTAATTTAAATTGAGGAATAAAATCTAAATGAAACGACTTTAGTCAAAGTGCTGAACTCTGGAGCTGAAGTTCATGTCCTCACAGAGGCTGAAAACAGAGCGTCGTGTGTGTTGCATGAAACCATTCTTACAGACACACAGGATTCATACATAAATAGTCTTTTTATGGTTTAATATTCACAGACTACTCTATCGCAATTTGATTCAAGTGTACTTTTTTAAATCTATTCCTCAAATTTGACAAATTCTGTAGTAATAATGTTCCACGTAATGCAGTAAATTCTGTTTTGATGTCTATCGGTACAAAACGTATCGTGTCAAATCAAGCAGCGTTTCAAATTTGGGAGCGTCTTCAAAAAGCTCAGTTTTCCCAGGACAAAATGCTGCCTCTATTTTATTTAGAAAGTCTTTTGGTGATTCTACGTTTGATTGCATATGCTTGTCCATACCGATGAGCCTGTGCACACTGACCGTATTCATGCCTGCTCCTCCTCAGCAACACAGCCCTCTCCTGAAGGCCTTCACCACTCAGGGCCTCTCTGAGCTCACGCTTCTGCTGAGGGTCCAGGAGTACTGTTACGACAACATCCACTTCATGAACTCCTTCCAGAAGATCGTTCTGCTGCTCTATAAAGGTAAGCTCCTCGGACCCGGACTCGTGCTCCTGAAGAGCTTTAGTAGACCGCTCCTGAACCTCTGACGCTTCTCCTGCAGTGAATGTCGTGAGTGAAGAGGCCATCCTGAAGTGGTACACCGAAGCCCATCTCGCCAAAGGAAAAGGCTTCTTCCTGGAGCAGATGAAGAAGTTCGTGGAGTGGCTGAAGAGTGCAGAGGAGGGTGAGTGGCCGTCCCAGTTAAACCTGATGGTTTCTAGCTTGTTTGGGACACATCCCCTCTGTATTCATGTTTCTTTGCTTGCATATTTGATGTAAGTGTCTCCTGTGTTTCAGAATCTGAGTCTGAGGAGGAAACGGACTGAGACTCTTCCTCCTGGGATCATCTACTGCCAGAGTTGTCTTTTCTTGTATTTTGAAGCTGAAGGGTCCAGATCATTTAAGGGCTTAACTGACAGAACGGTTTTTAAAGTCTTGATTTGTTCTGTACTACTCAGTTTTTATATGAGATCTTTTTAAGATGTTAGTTGGATTTGTTCTGGATATGTACTTGCAGTGTGACTTTTTTTTTTATCTTCATTTTGACTTGATTCTAGAAAAATAAAGTATATAGTCTGAGTCTTGCTTCAGTGGTTCTTTAAAGTTTCCAACTCACTGGTCATGTGACTGTACTGGTCCTTTCACAGTAAATGAGAAGCTTAATTCAGTGACTTGCAGTCCAGTTTGAACTATCTCAGTATGTTTACATGATGATAATGTACTAAAAATGTACTTTTTTTTTTTCCGTACATATGCCATTATCAAAACAACCCCCATTCACACGGATCTGTGAACTAAAATCGCTGTATTCTGCTGCCAGGCCAGTAGTTATCTGTCACTTTTAAAGAAATGCTGTTCTTATAGACTGAACATGCATGCACATGACATCAGTTTTCACATGTTTGTAGTTTACACTGAAACTACAACACTATCGTTTTCAAAAACTTGCACTTTAAAACAAGGGGTGTGTTCGTCGTATGTCACTTAATGCATCTGAGTTTTGATGGATGCCAGGTCTTCTAATTGTATAACTGATCTCTGAGGATTTGATTAAAATATCAGTATTAAGTTGTCTTGAGTTTATTGGAAAGGGCAAATATATCAATACTCAAAACCAAGATCAGCAATGCAGTGATTGGATGGCAGCAACTTCATTAAAGAATGCACCGATTTGATACTTAACGTTTCCTTAAAAGCAAAATTCATCAAGTGATCAAAATGACAAGTTGTAATTGACAAATGAAATTTAATGTTACATGATTCACAATTATTTCATGATTTCTAGCATTTGTACAGACTTTACATGTATTTCAATGTAATCAGCATTTCATTTTAAATTTACCTGTGAATCAGATTTGTTACATGACAACATTAAATAAGATTCTTAAAGGGATACTCCACCCGAAAATGAATTCTGTCATCTACTCACCCTCTTGTTGCAAACCTGTGTGAGTTTCTTTCTTCTGCTGAACACAAAGGAAGATATTTTGAAGAACGATTGAAACCAAACGATTGTTTGGCACCATTGACTTCCATAGTAGGAAAAAAAATACTATGGAAGTCAATGGTGCCAAAGTTCCAATCGTTCTTCAAAATATCTTCCTTTGTGTTCAGCAGAAGAAAGAAACTTTGCAACAACTTGAGGGAGAGTAAATGATGACAGAATTTTCATTTTTGGGTGGAGTATCCCTTTAAGGGTCAAGAATTTTTCTAATGGCACACCAGTTTTCACCAAGTTACCTGCATCAAGCCACACAACTGTTCAAATTGATGCATGGCTCAGACTAACTACATCAGTAACGCTCCGATAAAATTATGAATTATTCCCTCGCAAATAAATCAATGAGTAAAACTGGCTGTCAACAGAATGACTACACATTGCAATTTGCAAATACATTTTTAAATTGTCCCAAATGTATTAACCCTCTGGGTTCCTTCATTTCAGAGTCACACTCAGGACCTTCGGGTCCAAATGGGCCGGAAGGGTGGGATTAATATTTATTAAAAAAAATCTTTTTTTTTTTTTACTTGTTTTTTATATTTTTTCTTTTCTTTTGAGATAATTTCAAAAATAAAAATGATTTATAATTAATATTAATGCAATAATTATGACCCATTTTTTCCCCATTGAATATAATAGAAATGTAAAAATATATATATATTTATTTTTTATTTTTTTAAAGCTGTATTTCATTTTAGAGTCAAGCCTAGGCCTCATGAAAGCAATTTTTGAAATGAGATGGATGCCATCTGGTGGACAAACTGAGCATTTAAAAAATTCAAAACCCATATGTAATCTGAATTTATTAGTGTGTATGTGTATAAAAGTGTGTTTGTTAGTGTGTGTGGATGTGTCTGTTTTGCACTCTTGATGTTTTATAGATTCACCCCTTCACTGTTGTGTGCTTTTTTTCTGGATCGTGGCTGATTTGTAGATTGTACGCACAAAAAAACTCTGTATTTTCACATTTTTGCCAATTTCCCATTCATTTCCTATGCGGGTCCATTTGGACCTGAAGGTCCTGAGTGTGACTATTTTTTTTTACAACCACTTAGACTATTCAAATCCTGTCCCCAATTTTTTTGGGTGTTCATATACCAAGTACCAACAAAGTCACCAAATTTCGGACCATTCCGATAAAGCTATGATTTAAAAAAAAATATTATTTAAATGCTTCGGGTCCATTTGGGCCGAAGGACCCCAGAGGGTTAAGCTACTCTTGTAAGAAAGTAGCAGTTGCTGTGACAGACTCACCGTCCCACAGGTGGGACATTTGCCATTATATTTTTAAAACAATATCTTAGTAAAAACCTCAAGTAATATTGACAAACTATATATAATTTGAAAGCTTACAATCTCTAGTTTCCATATTTGGCGACTGTTTTTCCAAATAAATTACAGAGGAGCCGTAATTGATCAATTTGCAACAAGAATATTTTCATACTCCTAAATTATTTTGAAATAGTGATGAACATGAAAATCATGCAAGAAGGGTAGAAACCTCAGTTTGTTTTCATGCCAAGAGTTCAAAAGATAGCATCCATTCAATTATTTTAGATAAAAAAAGTCTGAAAATGTTTTAAATATAAAGAACAAAATAACGAATTCACCATTTGTGATGCGGCGGCGAGCTACAACGCACATGCGTGTTATTTGTATGTGTTTCTTAGAGGTTGAATTCATATCAAAATCTGCCAAGCTTCCCAAACTACTTCTGAATAGGATGTCTACTTCATAAATTGTATGAAAATTGTGGAAATAATGGTTCAGATCACACAAAACACACATGGAAATGGAGGTGCCCTTATATGGGCAGTAATGGAGTCTGGTTGTGCCCTAGTGGAAGCGTTCGGTACTGCGCCCAAACACACTCTCACTGAAAGCTTTTGAGATATCAACCTAAAATTTGAAACACAACTTGTTCAGATTTTTGGCTTTGATTTTTCTGCAGTTTTAGAGTAGCCCAGGTTTTGAAAATATATATTTTATATAATATATGAATAATTATTTTTTTTACATTGTACATTTCCATAAACTCAAACTTCTATAACTTTTTTACTGTTTCACTTTCTTAATTTATTTCACTTCTACAAAAATCTGCCAAATATCTTCTTTAAAACAAGACCATGTCTTGTGTCTATATTCCAAAGCATTCTTGAATTACAACCATTTAGGGGGAGGGGGGGTGACACTTAAGTAGAACCTCTGCTTAAATTTAATCTGATCCTGTTTACATGAAATAAGCTGATCCCGAGCAGGTTTGAGTTCACGGATCTGTTGCGATGACAACTCTGGGATGAGCTTTGAAGAACCTAACAATCCTGGATCATGTCAAATCGTCGACCGTGAAATCCTGATAACTGAGTAATCCATGTACGAAGAATAGGCCCGTATTCAAAAGATTGTGTTTTCAAGCCCCCAAAATGCTGTTGTGTAAGTGAATGACCAAAGCACATTATTATTCAGTTTATGGTAGTAAACGGTGACATGTAAACAGCCCCCTTAGGGAGTGTTTTTTCTTTCTTTTTTTTAATGAAGACACCGGCGTCTTAAAGCTGAAAATGTTGTATTGCTTAATTACATATAAAGCACCACATTGTGAAAGATATGTGTGTCCTGGGGTGTTGAAGTTAGTTCTGTGTCCCTGCCTCCGGCTCTTCATGCCTGTCTTGTTCTGGTCCAGTGAGGGTTTGCCCTTCACGAGCTTTCTTCCTCTTCAATGTCACCGTCTTTTTCTAAAATACAATGTTTCCAGAAATTATCCCGTAAACAATAAAATGATAAAGCAATTTAATGTCAATTTGATAAGCCAGAAAAGGGTCAAATTTAATTCTGTACTAAATTCGTTAAAAATTACGCTATGAATGTGTGTTTAATTTCTATAAAACAAAACTAAGATTAAAAGTTATGAAAAAACACCTATTCGAGTTCAGTGAAGACTTTTTCATTTTGTTTTACTCCAAATTTGTTTTTAAAAAAGTGCTATATATTGTAGAAACAGGGAGCTGTGCTGTTGTGCTCATGTATTAATGTAAGCAAGTCGTCTTTAAAGAAATACAGTACGACTGGCATCCAATCAAACTCTCTAAACATGCTCACCTGAATTACATCCCATCTGTGCATTCGGAGGTTCTATACATTTAACTTTTTCCTCATTTTCTTGCTCCTTGTTTGTCTCTCCATCCTTGCTGTCTGTTCTCTGCTTAGATTCCTGTACTGGAAAAAGGAATAACTAACTGACTCAACTCTGTGATGATAAACTTAAAATCTATTAGTATGTGTTGAACTTTCAAACTAAATCCAATAATTACAATAAATAGATGTTGGCATTCTCTGAAAAAGAAAACTTTGATTGGTTGTTAGCACATTGCTTTGTGGTTGTTATATGTTTCTGCATGCTTGCTGATCCAAGCCAATACATTTTACAGGCCATTTACAAGTTATTTTTCTAGTTTTACTTAAAATGGTCTGCATAACCATCAGAACACGAACATGAGAGGCAGGGGATTATTTTATTCCACACTTTTGTATCTTTTTGTAAAGCTATAAGATGGTCACCAGGCACTGCCATTAAACGGACAAGCGGAAGCAGAACCGTTTCACCTTTTGTGTTCAGAAAAGGGTACGCAGCTTTAGAATAACACCAGAATAAATCAGTCCTAAGTTGACGTTTTGAGTTGAACTGTCCTTATAAAAAAGACAATCAGAGGTTGCCACAAAGTTTTAAATGAGTCTTTTGTGCCGTCTGAACTTGCTAACTTTTTTAGTGAACTGACACCAATTGCTAAGGTAAAATTTTGAGCATAGAAAACCATTATGAATATAATCATACATGTTCATAATCAGAGATGACAAACAAAATTGCCCATAAATGAGCTGTCAACCTGATATGCACTGGTATCAACCCCCAATTCAAAAGTCAATAACTGTGACGGTCAACAAACAATGTTTTAGACTCACTTAGCTCTTGTGTCCCTGATGATCTACTTCTGTTTATCTGACTTCCTTGCAGATATACTATACGATCCTCTAAACACCACAAACACATAAAATCTGCTGTATACATGGGAAATTGAAAGCCATGTCACATTCATATCTTTATGGTTATTATGAGCATCTAGATATCTTACCATGTTTTCGTTTGAAATAAATGACAGGAGCTATGATCACCAGAATAACAGCAGCGATGACGGACAATGCAACAGGTAGAATGATATTCTCATATGATTGTGGTCCATCTAAATACAATAACATAACAATAGTTATAAGCCAGCTTGATCATGAAGTCTGTAATGAGCATGAGTGCAGTGAGCCTGAAGCGGACCTGTGTGGCAGTGTTTCAGAGAGAAGCTGCTGCTCCGCTGGCTCACTTCATTCCTCACAGTACACGTGTAGACGGAGTCCGGCTCCTCCTCTCCGCTGAGCTGGAGCTCCGGCCCCGACTGCTGTGCTGAGCCGGTCCATGCGTAAGAGACCCGAGACCGAGAGGACACTGAACACAACAGAGCTCTCGAAATATTGGTCCGATGACAGGTCACGACCGGCTCCGGCACAGACTCTGAGGAAACAGGAATGCTGGATTTACCAAGTCATGGTCCATACTCTTATAACAGAACTCATGTGTGGAAGCTTGTTCCCGCCACGGAATAAAGAAATGTAACAGATAGTTGCGACTTTTTACTCACAATTCTGAATCTTTTTCCTCATAATTGCCTGATATAAAGTCACAATTGCATGTTATTAAGTCAGAATTGTGAACAACTCGCAATTCTGAGACTTTATAACTTATATCTGATTGGGCCTAACACACAATTGAGACTTTATATCTCCGATTCTGACTTTAGCTATATCTTGCCATTTTGACTTTATATCTCTGATTCTGAGTTTATATCCCACAATTATGACTATATCTCACAATTATGACTTTATATTCAGCAATTCTGACTTTAGATCACACAATTATGACTTTATATCACGCAATTCAGCTTGTTCAGAAAAGTCAGAATTGCCAGGTGTAAACTCGTAATTGCGAGAAAAACAAGTCAGAATTGTGAGATAAAAAGTCAATTACCTTTTTTTAATTATTATTTAATGGTGGAACAAGCTTCTATACATGGCTACAAGACATTGACATGTTTGAAACATATTCTTACAGATAGATTAGCCTGATTTAATATATGAGGATATTTTACATGATGATAGCTTAAAATTCAATGCATTTTGAATGATTAAAAATGCATAAAAAAGAATATTAAAATTAAAAATGCATCATTATTTTGTAGCTTAATTTAACTTAAATTATAGTGATTTTCCATCTGTGTCACATCCATTAACAATTTCCAGGATTTGTTCTATAAAATAAAAATAAATGACATGAAACCATTACTTCCTGGAAAGTCCATAAATACTTTATTCATAGATCACAGAGTGAATCATCCATTTCATTCATCAACAGAATATGCAGCATCTGTCTTGAAAAACCACTATAGTGTGTGTTGTGTTGTGTTTAGTGTGCCGGTGTCCTCTTAGCTTAACCAACCAGATTTTCTCGGTCATCCAGATTCCCCAGCTGTCTCAGCACAGGTATTCAACACATTACATCAGTGTAACCAGCAACACTGCCGTCTTATTTCATTCTCACTTACCAATAACTTGAACTTCATTGTCAGAATTTTGCAGCTTCCCGTTGATCTGTATCACAGACCTGTAATGACCACTGTCATGGCTGGTCATGTGATGAACCTTGAGCTGTCCAGTAGAGACTTCAATCTCTGCTCTTTCCTTGAACTGACCATAATCTAGAAATTCAGTCAGATCATGTTCAGCCACCTTGTTTCCATTGAGTGTCCACAAAATGTCTTCAGGCTTTCCTTGAATATTAGGTTTTAAAGTCAGACTCGTCCCATTCTCGACATAGACGATAGACGTTACAGCATCTGATTAATATTTAGAAAAGGTAAAGGTAAAGATCATGGTGCAAGGTTAAACATCTAAAATATAAGCTTCTAAAAGCTGCGTTTTACATTGAAAATCCCAGTAGCCTATTAGCTTAGAGGTCCTAAACAAATGATGTTTAACACTGATCGCGCTTAAAGAGCTTATGTAACCTACAATTAACAACTTTCAATAATATTTACAGCGTATGAAGCAAATAACCATGACAAGTAATAAAGAACATCACTTACTGAATAATCTTGATAGTATTAAACAGATGGAAAGACCCGATACTTCCCAAAGCGGTCTCATATTGTGTAGTTTTTACTTTCGATCAGCTGTCAGGGAAACCGGTCCGGCCAGGTTAAAGATAATATGCGTTCCGCGAGCGATTCTAGCAGTGCTTTAATCTGCATGTGTTCGAGACTGAAGCTGTAATTAAAATAAGAATGGGTATATGTAAGATCCCTGTGGCAATTTAACCGGTTACTGTATTGTTGTTAAGCTGCCATACCGGAACACCCTCAAAGAAAAAGGTATGTCACTCACCTTTAAATGATGATCTCATCTGTACATTAAGCTCCACCCCTTACACCTGCTAAACTCAGACGACCAACACTTCCTGTATGGAGATATGCAAAATATGCTCACAAAGTGGTGAAAAATGATTAGATATTGTTCTTATGTGAACTGGTCTGGGAGACATTGAAAGGCATCCTATCTGCCGCATTGAAGTGATTCAACATGGGCTAGCCTACTGTAAATTATGGAGGAAAATTGTAAAGTGAGAAGCTTCACTTGAAACGAAGTGATCACATGAGTCTGAGATCACATAAGTTCTGTTGTCAACGTTTCCACGAAACGTGATCGTTTAGTTACTATCAACACTACAATTAATTATAGGCAACTTTACACAAAATCATACTGTTATGCTTATTTGTAATCTCCGGTTATTTTCAGTTAATTGAACATTTTAGTATAAGAATGTATGGTCACACTTTAGATTAGGGTCCAATTCTCACTATTAACTAACTATTAAGTACACATTTTTCCTCAATACACTCTTAATTACTGCTTATTAATAGTTAGTAAGGTAGTTGTCAAGTTTAGGTATTGGGTGGATTATAGGGTCATGCTGAATAAAACATTAATATGTGCTTTATAAGAACTAATAAACAGCCAATATCCTAATATGCATGTTAAATTAAGCAACTAGTTAATAGTGAGAATTGGACCCTAAACTAAAGTGTTACCGGATGTATTATTCATCCATTATGTTCTTCAAAGCAAAAGCTTGATTAGATAATCTTGACCTTTTCCCCGTCTTTTACTCTTTCCTCCTGACAGACAGGTGGTGGTCAGCTATAGGCCTACACTGTGTGTGTGTGTGTGTGTGTGTATATATATATATATATATTCATCACTGTACTCACTCCTACTCAAAGTAGGACACAACTAGTACTCTTCTAATACAAACTAAGGCATGAAACATGCTTCCCAAAACAAAACCAGGAAAACGATGTACCATTAGGAAGATAAAAAAAACAACAACACACATAAACGATTTGAATAAAACAGCAAAATACAATCACGTTTTCCTTTGTATGAATTGATGTTTTAATAATGATGTATTTATATCAACAGCTATTGAGTACAGACACATGCAGTGCCATGTACAGTACTGGGACGATTACTTGCCACTTATAATCTGTTACTGATTCCAAATTACATGACAATTCTAGTCAGTCAACTAAAGATTACATATTTTAGGTAACATATTATGCCTACTTTTTGATTTTGAACTCAAAAAGTCAAACAGATTTGAGTAGGATAATTGTGTAGTAGGATAAACGGGATCTTCCAGTAAAAATGACTTAAATCAGACACTCTGGTGATGTGTGTCGTATTTTTCCAAACATTTAGTCTGTTTAAACCCGCTCTCTTTTCTAACAATCAAAATGTCAGTCAACAGCTGATGGATAAAACCAAGTCCACACCCTACTTTTTAATTTCTATTTTGATCATTCGCTTCACTCAAATGTGCATCACAATATGGAAGAAAAAATCTGCTACTTTTGTTACATTACATTACATGAGCAAACATTCATAAACAGGAAAACAGCAAGAACATTACACAGCCAAAGTTGGATTGCAAATTTATTTACATGGTATGCAAATACAAAGGAAAGTTTCCATAGTGATACTGATAAAAGTCTAGGCCCTATATCAGTCACAATCTCAAATATATTTGCATTATAAGAGAATTTCTTGAATTATGAACAGGCAATTATGATATTACAAAGGCCATCCATCTGTTGTAGCAGATCAGACAAGTTATATTTCTAAGCCAAAATGTCAAACGGTTAAAAATGTACAAATGAATTTGTGTACATTTTGAAGCAGAGTTAAAAAAAATATATATATATTTCACAAACCTAAAAATAATATTTCATTGTAATCCACATATACATGCCGATTTTGTGCAGTTTAATGTGTTTATACAAAAGCCTTTCAAAGTCATAGCCTATTGTAATAGACCTTAGTCAGGGTAGCACCATATTTAACTTTTGACTGTTGGATGTTTAACAACTGTTTACAAAACATCTTTACAAAATACTTTCAGTTGACAAAAAAACGATAATTTTTATATCATTATAATTATAATTTTTTGTTGAAAGTTGTGAGTTTTGAAAATAACATGTGCTCGATACATTCATAGAGTGCATAGCATTGAAAAGACTGTAAGTCTCTCTCTGACTGATTTGATCCTTTTATCTATATGCTATAGAAACAGTCAGTCACCTGAGACATGTAATTAGGACTGCACATGCACATTGGCTTGTCCAGCCTGAAATATTCATTCATAACATTCATAATATTCATAACATTCAAATGCCTCATTCTTTTATGGGACAGTTCATTTAAAATGTTATTGCTGATTTGAAATGTGTTATTTAAAACTGAGACTGGAACGAGGCCAAGGTGGAGCCAGGGTACCGAAGGACTGAGGCGGAGCTGGTGGGAGGGAGGACTGAGGTGGAGCCAGGGTACCGAAGGACTGAGGCGGAGCCGGTGGGAGTGAGGACTGAGGTGGAGCCGGTGGGAGAGAGGACTGAGGCGGAGCTGGTGGGAGGGAGGACTGAGGTGGAGCCGGTGGGAGAGAGGACTGAGGTGGAGCCGGTGGGAGAGAGGACTGAGGTGGAGCCGGTGGGAGAGAGGACTGAGGCGGAGCCGGTGGGAGAGAGGACTGAGGCGGAGCCGGTGGGAGTGAGGATTGAGGCGGAGCCGGTGGGAGTGAGGACTGAGGTGGAGCCGGTGGGAGTGAGGACTGAGGTGGAGCCGGTGGGAGTGAGGACTGAGGAGGAGCTGGTGGGAGGGAGGACTGAGGTGGAGCCTGAGGGAGTGAGGATTGAGGCGGAGCCGGTGGGAGTGAGGACTGAGGTGGAGCCGGTGGGAGTGAGGACTGAGGTGGAGCCGGTGGGAGTGAGGACTGAGGAGGAGCTGGTGGGAGGGAGGACTGAGGTGGAGCCTGAGGGAGTGAGGACTGAGGTGGAGCCGGTGGGAGAGAGGACTGAGGTGGAGCCGGTGGGAGTGAGGACTGAGGTGGAGCCGGTGGGAGGGAGGACTGAGGTGGAGCCGGTGGGAGTGAGGACTGAGGTGGAGCCGGTGGGAGGGAGGACTGAGGTGGAGCCGGTGGGAGTGAGGACTGAGGTGGAGCCGGTGGGAGGGAGGACTGAGGTGGAGCCGGTGGGAGTGAGGACTGAGGTGGAGCCGGTGGGAGAGAGGACTGAGGTGGAGCCGGTGGGAGTGAGGACTGAGGTGGAGCCGGTGAGCTGAAGGGGTGGAGGAACGAGGCACAGCTGAGGTAGAAGTAGAGCAATGACTGAACAAGGTAGACCCGGAGGTACAAGGGAGTCCGGTGGAGTCGAAAGGATGACAATCCCAGGTGGAGCCGATGGGCAGAGGTGGAGTAATGGGCTCTATTCTTTATGGAGTAATGGGCCCAAGGAAGATCCAGGTGATCATCACACGAAGGCATGCTGCAGACTAGGAGGCTCAAAGCGTAGCAGTCTTTTTGCGCAAAATCAGCAGAGGAGGAGGAGCTGAGGAGCTGAACGGGACCAGCAGATCTGACACAGAGGAACTGCACAGCTTATTTGGAGGAGGAGGGAATGGAAGGCTGGGTGGAACCAGTGACAATGAAGGAAACTTTGGGCTGGGCGGAACCAGCGACGACAAAGATTTGGAGCTGTGCAGAACCAGTGGCAACAAAGAAAACTTGGAGCTGGGCGGTACCAGAGGAGCAGGAACAGCCTCATCAACCAGCTCTACTAGTACTTCCACTGACATGAATGTATAAACCAGCTGACACACCTGGTCAGACTGAATGACACGCTTTGTTTCCGGGACAGAAAACAGGCTCCATTGCTGGGATAAGATCCTCCTCCCACTCACCAATAGTATTGGCCACATTGATGAAGTACCCAGTCCACATACTCGAGAAATGTCCTCCGAGGATCATCTATGAGCAGGCAAGCCTTTGTTTGGCCGTTTTAGTCCTGCCCGAAAAACACACAGAGGCTGTTGTCATCGGAGCTAACAAGATGGACCAGACCTATAAAGGTCTCTGTGTGATCTTAGAGGAAGCGATACCCCTGTGAGAGCAGGAAGATCTGTACCGCTGCTAGATCCATTTTATAATAAATAATAAATATAATAGGGTTAGAGTGGAGAATGAAGATGAGGGGAGGTGAAGTAGATCTGAAATGCAACGTACTTTAACAACAACAAATGCAAAATGCAACAAAACAAAAGAGTAATCCAAAAATGAGTAATCCAAAACAGGAAGGCAAACAAACAGTGTGTACAAGCACAGACAACATCAGACAAAGAGTTGAAGGCATTAAATACACTGACAAATAATGAGGAACAGGTGTGTGTAATCAATGAACCAATGAGTTGCCATGACAAAAGAACAAAAGGAACAAAAGAAACAGGAAAAAATGATCTACAAATTAAAAGTCAAGGAAAAAGAAACAGGAAACAGTAACAGTACTTTGTGTGTGTCATGGCTGTATGATTAATACTGTAATTGTGGTAGAAAGGTCACCTGGCTGAAGTCACCTTTGACACAGTGTTAAGGGGGTGGTTTTCAGCCCACAGATCGGCTTTCTTTTTCTTCTGATCAAAACTCCTCTTGTGCTTCCTTCTCAACAACAATATTATAACCAACACAAGAAAACAAATCAGAGGAATAGTGATTCCCAGTGTTGTTACCAACCAGTCTATCGATTTTTCAGGAACACCTAAAAAAATTAAAATCAAATGTTAGATTGTTGTTTTTTGGAAAAGACAAAGTTTTGCTGTTTTGTATATACATTTGATTTATGGTTGAATGTGCTGTGTGTTTTTTTATTCTTCTTCTTCTTCTTCTTCTTTTCTTTTGAATACAACAAGAGAAGCCCATCCCTTCAGACAAACAGAACACCACCAAGTCACCCGATATTTCTACTTTTTACATATTTGGGTTTGCCATGGGTTCAAGGTTTGATTGGTTAGCATTGTACAGATATTATATGGCCAAATAGTCTGTTTTCACAATGATAGTTGCCTTTTATTCAGTTTCAGTTATGCTTTTCTCCCCCTTAAAAGCAAATTACAATTAAAAATATTCTACTATATTATAACAGCTGTTTTACTGGTGCAGTATGCCCCTTAAAGGAGAACTCCAGCGCAAAATGAACCTCGGGTGTAATAACACATTGGTACAGACTAAATCGTTCCCTGAGATTTGTTATCATGATAATCGAATATAAAGAGTTTTATTTCTAAAAACAGTTTAGCTTATAACGCTAGTATATTGGGCATCGAGTAAGCAAAAAGAGATCGCTAGTTAATACCATTAACAAGGCTCAAATTAGCCCCACACTAACACGGTAGCATAATGAGTGTCCTTACATGCAAACCGAAGCATTGAGAACTTTGTAAGTGTATAGACAGTTTAATAAGAAGATACTTTACACAGACAGTACAGTTAGCGCATACAGACAGGAGCCATCTTGGAAAACAGTCTTGACCAATCGAACCACGAAGGTGAGCGAACAGTATGTGTAGGTATTGAAGATAAGATAAATTATATTTATTTTTTTATTTTCTCTGTTGCGTTAAGTGCTTCTCTTATGCGCTCAGTGCTTTCTTCCGGAAACAACGGACCATATGAGATTCCAAGTCACAGTTCAGCTCACGTATCACCGTGTTCGTGGTTTGACTGATCGAGACTGTTTTCCAAGATGTATGCTCCTGTCTGTATGCGCTAACTGTACTGTCTGTGTAAAGTATCTTCTTATTAAACTGTCTATACACTTACAAAGTTCTCAATGCTTCGGTTTGCATGTAAGGACACTCATTATGCTGCCGTGTTAGCGTGGGGCTAATTTGAGCCTTGTTAATGATATTAACTAGCGATCTCTTTTTGCTTACTCGATGCCCAATATACTAGCATTATAAGCTAAACTGTTTTTAGAGATAAAACTCTTTACATTCGATTATCATGAAAACAAATCTCAGGGAACGATTTAGTCTGTACCAATGTGTTATTACACCCGAGGTTCATTTTGCACCGCAGTTCTCCTTTAAAAGCACAATATGGACGTATTTAAACTAACTATAACCTTCCCCCAAAATTTGAGGGAAATTAAATGTTGATGTAAATGGTGTACAAGCCTGATCCAAACATTACCCCTAACCCTAAAATCATATTGGTTGATTGGGATGTTGTTCCAAGAACATGTCCAACTTGGTGAAAACATGGTCACCATGTGGTTGAAGGGATGTGAGCAGGCTAATTTAGTGACTCAATCCTAGTTGAAATTATAAAAATGGTTTAAATTGTTTAGTATAAAGACATGTTAGTTTGTAGATAGTTACCTTCAGTGTGGACATGGACAGAGAGCTCTCCAGATGTATCTGAAACCAATTTCCTCCAGTTGTCAGCGGTGGGAAGCCACTCCTCTACCTGACAGTAGTATTGCCCCACATCAGTGGGCTGGATCTGCAGCACAGTCAGTTTGTAGTGTGTGGCATGTGGTCGTCCAAACACCAGTTGTTTATCACCAATTGCACTGTGTAAAGTACCGTCACGCCTGGCAGTGAATATAGCGATTGGTCCTTCCTCCTGAACCTTGAACCAGGTGACCTCAAAGGTAGACTTATCACTGGACTGAGAGTCAATGTCACAGTCAACGGTGAACTCAGCCTGATGATTGGTGATGTTGAGCATTCGGTCCTCCTTCTTAACATGCAGTTTACTTTCTGTTTAAATGAAAAACAACATCAAAGTTTGAATTTCTTAATTTGTTCAAAAATACATAATTTACATAAATCCATACATGTAACGATTTAAATAAATCTCTTCTATGATGTTTTAATTTCTGCCATTTTTCATATTTTTGGTGACATGAAGTTAAAAATGCCTACGTGGTAACGGCTGTCCTGAATCCAACTCACTTTCATGGCAATTCCTAACTATTTTATGTTTTGGTGAATTGGTGGCTAATTCATATGAATTTGTATGATCTCATTCATACATTTTTGTACAATATGCTTATGTCCCACTGACAGGTCAATACAAATTCAATGAAAAGGCAATTGCAATGAAGTAAATGTGTTGTTTTTTACCTTTCTCTTTGACAACAAGCTCTGTGGAACCAGACATTTTCTTTAGGGAATACCAGTCACCAAGAGGATCCTGGAGCCACTCTTCCACCTCACAGCGATACTGTCCACTGTCAGATGTTCTGACCTGATGGACTGTCAGCTGGAAGGTCTGTTTCTGTCTTACTTCCATGCGGATTCTCTGGTCCATCTCTAGGCCAGCTGCGGGGCCAAACTTGATAACAGCATCTAGGTCCATAGTTAAGAGCATCTGGGACCCAATCATCCATGTTATCGTGAAACGAGAAGTATTTGTGGTTGTCTTCAAGACTGAGCATTCAATCTTAGCATCAGTGTTGACAGTGGTTTCCAGGCGAGACTTGAGTTTGGTCAGGCTCATCCGGCTGACTGTTGGTAAACATTACAAAGTGAGGAGAAGAGAGAAAAAACAAGATATTCAACCAACTGCTGAATCTACAGTTATCTCAATGCTTTATAAAAACAGTAGGCAATATTTTGCACAGTGTGTGCAAAGAGAAAATAGTAATATGCTCTAAAGGAATAAAGGAAAGTGTTCAAGGAAGAGCTCTGGGAAAAGACAGTTACAAATGTTCTGTCTTTTAATTTACATGCATCTATTTTTAAATGGATTAAATTTCATTTCAAGATTTTATTTAATTATTTTTTGTAGTAGTCTCTTAATTATACACTCACCTAAAGGATTATTAGGAACACCATACTAATACTGTGTTTGACCCCCCTCGCCTTCAGAACTGCCTTAATTCTACATGGCATTGATTCAACAAGGTGCTGAAAGCATTCTTTAGAAATGTTGGCCCATATTGATAGGATAGCATCTTGCAGTTGATGGAGATTTGTGGGATGCACATCCAGGGCACGAAGCTCCCGTTCCACTACATCCCAAAGATGCTCTATTGGGTTGAGATCTGGTGACTGTGGGGGCCATTTTAGTACAGTGAACTCATTGTCATGTTCAAGAAACCAATTTGAAATGATTCGAGCTTTGTGACATGGTGCATTATCCTGCTGGAAGTAGCCATCAGAGGATGGGTACATGGTGGCCATAAAGGGATGGACATGGTCAGAAACAATGCTCAGGTAGGCCGTGGCATTTAAACGATGCCCAATTGGCACTAAGGGGCCTAAAGTGTGCCAAGAAAACATCCCCCACACTATTACACCACCACCACCAGCCTGCACAGTGGTAACAAGGCATGATGGATCCATGTTCTCATTCTGTTTACGCCAAATTCTGACTCTACCATCTGAATGTCTCAACAGAAATCGAGACTCATCAGACCAGGCAACATTTTCCCAGTCTTCAACTGTCCAATTTTGGTGAGCTCTTGCAAATTGTAGCCTCTTTTTCCTATTTGTAGTGGAGATGAGTGGTACCCGGTGGGGTCTTCTGCTGTTGTAGCCCATCCGCCTCAAGGTTGTGTGTGTTGTGGCTTCACAAATGCTTTGCTGCATACCTCGGTTGTAACGAGTGGTTATTTCAGTCAAAGTTGCTCTTCTATCAGCTTGAATCAGTCGGCCCATTCTCCTCTGACCTCAAGCATCAACAAGGCATTTTCGCCCACAGGACTGCCGCATACTGAATGTTTTTCCCTTTTCACACCATTCTTTGTAAACCCTAGAAATGGTTTGAGCAGATTGTGAAATACTCAGACCGGCCCGTCTGGCACCAACAACCATGCCACGCTCTAAATTGCTTAAATCACCTTTCTTTCCCATTCTGACATTCAGTTTGGAGTTCAGGAGATTGTCTTGACCAGGACCACACCCCTAAATGCATTGAAGCAACTGCCATGTGATTGGTTGATTAGATAACTGCATTAATGAGAAATTGAACAGGTGTTCCTAATAATCCTTTAGGTGAGTGTATATGTTGGCATGTCCATTAGTGTTTGTGCTGCCTGAGTCATGGTTTGATAGACCTGGTGTCTATAGTTAATAACAGTGAAGAATTCGGAAATACCCATTCAGTATTGCTATTTTCTACTGTATTGCTGTATTTCTATTTAAAAATAATGATAAATAGTACAAATAAAAGTAAATACAAATAATACAAATGGAAGTATATGAATTATACAATGCGCCATTATTTTACCGCCGAAAAAAGCACGTCTTAAACCAGACTGGTAGATTGCATTTGACTGCGTCTGTGTTCTTTAATCTGTGTGTTGTCAGTAATTACACACAGAACTTTCCACTCCCATCGGCACTTTTATGGAATTGCGCTCGCCCTCACGTTGGGGGCTCTCACGCAGGAATTTGCCCTGCTTAGTAAATCTGGCCCTAGGTGTCTAACTATTTGCACTTTAAATACAAAATTAAACATTTGGTATAATGCGGTTATTGTGTACACTGTCACATGTATGCTCTGTTTTGTTCAGTTTCTGTGTTCCTGATTGCCTTAGTTCCCTAGTTATTCTCTTAGGTTCTTAATAATTTAACACCTGTTCCGTTTTGACCTTGTTTACTCTCCCTGTGTATTCAAGCCCCTAGTTTCCTCAGTTCTTTGTTTGATCTCGTCTAAGATAACGTGGTTGTGTTTGCTATTCTACAGCTATCTCCTAAGTTTTAGTTTGTGTACTATAATAAAGTATGTTTTTTCTCTTACTCTTTTGTCGTGCGCATTCTCAACACCCACATCTGACACATACATTTTTGCTAGATTTGCATTTGCTGCTATTGAGGTTGGTGGCAACACTTTATTTGATCTAAATCATAGTAAGTAGGCTACATGTTGTTAATTAATATTACTCAGTACTTATTTGTGTAATTACACTATAAAGTTGTGGAATTAATTCTACTTGAGAGGATTAATGAAATAATTACCTCTGCAGATAATCAATTTGGTTTTAAACCGAAGCATGGTACGGATATGTGTATATATGTCCTGAAGGAATTATTAAGCAACTATAAGAGAAAAAACTCAACTGTTTTTATATGTTTTTTAGATGCATCCAAGGCATTCGACCGGGTGAATCATTGGAAATTATTTAAAAAATTGGATGCAGCAGGAGTCCCTAAATACATTGTCAGAATCCTATCATATTGGTATGCCCAACAGACCATGCAAGTGAAATGGGACAGCTGTATGTCGGCTCCCTTTCATATCAGTAATGGAGTAAGACAAGGGAGCATCTTATCCCCCATTTTATTCAATTTCTACATGAATGATTTATCATATAAATTAAACCGAGGTAAAACTGGCTGTATGGTCGGTAGTACAGTGATGAATCATCTTATGTATGCAGATGATTGTGTGATTTTTAGCCCGAGCTCAGCTGGACTGCAGCATCTTCTTAGTATATGTTCTGCGTTTGGGGAAGAACATGATATAAAGTACAATGACTCCAAAAGTGTTATCATGATCTGCAGAACCGCAGAAGACAGACATTTAACTTTTCCTGTTTTTAGGCTTGCAGGTAATGTTCTTAATATCTGCAGTAAAGTGAAATATCTTGGTCATCTGATTACAGATCAGCTTACAGATGACAAGGACATTAATCGTCAGTGCCGTATGCTGTATGTGCGGGCAAATGTTCTAGTACGCAAATTTGGTTGCTGCACTGCTGGAGTCAAGTTGACCCTATTTAAATCATACTGTTCGCCTTTGTACACTGCACATCTGTGGCTGAACTATAAAAAAGCTAGTCTTCAGAAATTGCAAGTAGCATTCAATGACGCTCTGAGGATGTTACTAAAAAAGCCCAGATCAACTTGTGCGAGTGAGTTGTTTGTGAGCACAAGAGTGGACACACTGCAGTCTGTCCTGCGAAAAGCGATGTTCAGGTTCATTTGTCGACTGAATGATTCTGTAAATCAAGTTGTTGTGGTGCTGGTGAATGTTAGGTACAGTGCCACACGCTGCATGTCTCAGTTTTGGGAACACTGGTATAAGTGTCTTTTAAAAACGAGTCATTTGTAAATTTGTATTGTGTATTTGTATTTGTATTATTGTATTTTTATCTTATCTTATTTTGTATGGTTAGACCATGAGTCTGAATAAAAGGATACTACTACTACTACTACTATAACAAGAGCATGTTCAAATAAAATAGGACCAGGTTGGGATATGGATAGGATCAGGGGAAGGGTAGGGGTACAGAGTATAAAGAGTATAAAGGAAAGAGTATGTCCAAACGTTTGACATAGAATATCTTCTTAAAGGGGTAATTCACCGCTGGCAAAGTGGGCGTCTTATAAAACGTGGCTGCCTTGAAAGGCTGTAGAAAGGCGAAAAAAGTTGAAATCTGTGCTACCTGACTAGAGAAAAAGAGCTGTTCTTTTCTCTTTTGCCAAATAGATAGGAAAACACCCATAATGCACAGAGTATGTTGCAGTTCAAGGACACTCCCAGTCCCAGTCTGCTCCTGATAGGCTTGACCTGAGACAAATACAGCCTTGCTTTAGTAGGAAATACTTCTTAGTCAAAATGGAGTCGAAATGTACTCTTCCCGAGTGCAAGAACTAAAAGAGTAAACGTTTAGCGGGAGGGAGTTATTTTCTGTGTCCAGTAAAGAATCCATTGAAAAATCTGAAACACCTAAGTGTAGTCAAGATTTCAAACTGGATGACTATGAACACAGTGTTTTAGGCCAAAAGGAGGGGGGGAAACTGAAAGAAACTGCATTTTGCTTCATCCGGTGGACATTTGCTGTCAAATAAACAGGAATTTGTTGGCCCATGCAACATGTTTAAGAAAGAGTACTCAGAAAGAGTAAACATTGTTATTTGCATATACTACTGACATTCTAACAATACAAAGAATCGGCGAACGTACACTTTAATACATTATATTTTAATAAACGGCTGTATTTACCAGGTTTTTGTACAGTCACCGCCAATGGATTGGAGTTCTTCATGGCTTTCTGTACATTCTTTTGATAGGCATCAGCTTGGCACTGGTATTGTCCTTCTTGTTGCTTGCTGGCTTGTGGGACTATGAGCAAAAAATGTGTGGCTGACGGCTGTGTCTGAATGGACAGCTGATAGTTTCTCCGATCTGCTCCCCAGGCGATTTCTCCAGTGTGGAGTATGGATAAAATATTCCTCTGTACAGTTGAATTGGGCGGCTGAAACATCCAGCGTACAGCCAGAGACACTTTAGGCCCTTTGACTATACATAGTAATTCCACTGAAGAATTTATAGGCACATTTGTTGTACGACTTTTCAAGGTCACCTTCATTAGAGATTCTGAAAAGAAATTTCTGCAGTGATTATTCATACTCTGGTATCAGTAACATGCAGTAGAAATATAAGTAATGACAAAGAATGTATGTCAGCATATCTAGACAGTTTCTCTGATCCTGAGAATAATGTGTGATTATATAGCAGTCTTACCAACAGAATTAACTAAAATGGCTCTTTGCTGAGACTGGGTGTTGGCTTTCGTCATCTCTCCATTGCTCTGTGCGGTCCATTCAGACACAATGCACTTGTATTCGCCTCTGTCAGATGTTGCAGATGCAACGATCTCCAGGGTAAAGTTTCCAGCTGGAGATTGGAGTGTTTGAACATTTCTGCTCTTATACTTTGTCCCAATATCTTTCATCACTCCCTCATGCGTCAGACTAATGACATCACTGAAGGAATCCCCAGAGTCTTTCTTGTGTTGCCATGACACTGATAAAGGACCTTTGGATCCCGACACCAAGCAGGAGACCTGTAGTGTATCTCCCTCAGTCACAGCATCCTCCATCACCATGACCAGCGTCAGATCACTCTCTGACCAGACGGGCAAATAAACAGGCAATGTTAGTGTCTTGTCATGCAATAACATATAATTGAGTTATTTTATTTGTATCTGAGTATTTATATATTTGTTATAAATAATAATTATATTTCTCATTACATGGTAGATATCCAGGATGTTCTTTACATAAAGAAAATGTACACAATTTGACCGTGGAAATGACCAGAACACCTAAGCAACTGAATTGCAACACAATAAAGTCCACTTGACTGTAGAGGAGAAACACTGTAGCATTATTTACCTTTGGCCATGATGTTTACAGTCTCTGGACTGGACAGTTGTTTTTGTATTTTTCTGAAGGTGCCATCATCATTAATGTCTTCCTGCCAGACTTCACACTGGTATTCGCCCTGGTCTTCAGCCCTAGCCGAACGGATGGTCAGCAAGTAGTCAGTGCGACTGGTTTTCACTGCTCTCATCTCCGCTGCATTCTCTCTCTCTTTATAACTGTCAAACACGGTGAGCATCCCAGAAGATCCAATCTGAGCCACGCTCTTCTGGTTCTTCAGCCAGGTCACAGAAAATAAATGACCAGGAAGACTCTGTGCCTTCACACTGCAGTGGATGTCCAGTGCATCTCCCACCTGTAGGGGCCCCAATGAGGCCTTCATGTAGACACTGAACGAACCTTCATCAGGGGCCACTTATGAAACAGGAAAAAGCATGAGATGTACAAGGTTCTCTTACACAGTTACACAATTTCATAACTAGGTGTAAAGTCTGGGCACTGAAGCAAAACCATTTGAGAAACTCTTAATACCAAAATATAAATCTTACCAATTTGTTTGACCTCCACGTTACATGCTGTGCTGTTTTTTTGGGCAATCTGTGTCCAGGAACGGTCTGGGTCTTGGATCCACTCACTGGCTTTGCAGTAGATGTTCCCCTGGTCAGACTGCTGAACTTGCGACATCTTCAGTCTGTAGGTTGTGTCCTCCACCTTATCCATGCTGATAAGACCTGCGTGGTAGCGATCCTCAAATCCAGCTCCTGGCTTTACAGTCAGATCTTTGTCCAGAGTGATGATTGGTCGGGGGTTCTCATCCGGTCCACTGTGGAGAAACCAGCTGACCGACAGATGGGTGTGCTGATAAGTCTCGCTGGAGACCTGGCACTCAAGCTGAAGAGGATCACCTTCAGACAAGCTCTGAGAGTAAGAGCCAGAGTACGATGCTTTCAGGGTGTCCTCAATCACTGTGGATTTTGTATTGAAAACATTAGTGACAACGAGTGGTCGACCAATATGTGTTTGTCAATGCCAATACCAATATCTAGAGAGTAACTGATGGCTGATATAATAGTGATTCAAATAAGTATATGTACAACTTTAGCTTATAGCTGATCATCTTCTGTTGGGATGAATGGAAATGTCAATGGATGCTAACAGATGGATCTCTCTAGATATAGATCTGCCTATGACAGGTCAATAATCTCAAATTGGCCAAATCATCTGATTAATCACCAAAACACTCAAGATAAAGAAATATCTTACCATTAAGTTTTGTTTCCGCTTCATAACTTCCAAAATATATGGGATCAGTGGTTGGGGTTTGACAGAAGATATCACCCGCATCCCCTTCAAGCAAATTTTTGATCCTCAAGAGAACTGCAGATCCTGACAACCTCTCAATCTCAATATCTTTTACACTTACTCTATTGGAGAATACTGCATAGGCAAAGTCCTGCTCTTTAGTACTGATGATATTTATATCCATGTTTGATTTCTTGACCTTAAATTCAAAATCCTGCAGAGATGGGCCTTTAAACCCACTAACATTACAGGATATGGAGATGGGATATCCTTTCACTCTATACAGAGGACCTTCCTGGATCTGGACCAGACGCTGACCGTAGCACAGATCTGTGTGGAGAGATGCATTAGACAGGCAAATTATTAGGAAGACTTGTTAAGTAGCATAAATTAAATAAACTGAAATGTGCAGTGACATTAAATGTGATGAGATTAACTGGATGCACATAACTGCACCAACACAGTCTCTTTTTAACGTGGTAGTATGTCCCAAAACTGCCCAAATGCTGGATTATGCTGTCAGGGTTCAGTCACTTCTGTCTAGTCTATTTCTTGGTTTTGTGACAGAGTCCTGACACTCCTGTTTTGTCTTGTCTGTGTGCCTTGTTTCGTGTGCCTTCATGTAATTTTTTTGTCTTGTGCTGTGTAGCACGCAGCTTGTGTTTTACATTAGCTGTGTGCTTTCATGTTGTCATGTTTTGTGTGAACACGTGGCTTATGAGTTCTCATTGGCTGCGTGTTCATGTCTCTTTTGTGTTAGCACATGGCTTGTGATTTGTTTTACTGGCCAGGTGTTTCCTTGTGCCATGTGCTCTCCTGTCAATTTGTCTTGCCCCGCCCATCTTGTTACCTGATGATTGGTTCATTTGCCCCACCTGTCCTCCCTCGTTACCTGCTTTGTTTGCTCTCCCTATTTATTCGCCCTGTGTTTGCAGTCCTGTGCTGGTTTGTCGTCATATGTACACCGTGTGTTTCCCTGCAGTCAAGTCAAGTCAAGTCAAGTCAAGTCAAGTCAAGTCAAGTCAAGTCAAGTCAAGTCAAGTCAAGTCATCCCCCTCGGGGTAGTTTTTGTTTGTATTTTCTTTTATTTAGTTTTCCCTGCAATTGAGTCTTCGCTTCATCCCTCACCTCAACCCTGACTTATGCCTGTTGGTCTTTTTGTTTTGTTTACTTCTTTTTATATCCAGACGTTGTCAATCTCACTGACAGTTGAAGGTAACAATACACCCCACCTCCACCCTCGGACATAAGTCAAGTCACATTTATCTAATGCTTTAGACAATACAAATTTTTTCAAAGCAGCTTTGCAGAGATAACAGGAAAATGATGGCGGCAGTGGCTCAGTGGTTCATGTAGGTTGTCTACAAATCGGAAGGTTGGTGGTTCAATCCCCGGTCCCACCTGACGAAGTGTCGAGGTGTCCATGAGCAAGACACCTAACCCCGGTGTGTGTGTGAGACACCTAACCCCAGCTGCTCCTGACGAGCTGGATGGCGCCTTGTATGGCTGACACCACCGTCGGTGTATGAGTGAGTGAGAGAATGGGTGAATGTGAGGCAAATTGTAAAGCGCTTTGGTGGCCATTGGGTCTGTGAAAGCGCTAAATGCAGTCCATTTATCATTTTACCATGATTCAATGACGCAAACAGAGTTCATTTCTGCGCCCATTGACGCTCGAGGAGGGCATTGCGGAGGAGTTCATCCAGTTAGTGGAGGACTGGATGGCAGTATGTTTTGGGAACCGGACCAAGAATCTTTTTCCTCTCTCTTGTCTCGCTCTCCTCATGCTTCCATCTCCTTTTCTCTCGCCTCGTCTGTCCTTACCCTGCCGTGACTAGCCCCCTGAGGGAGGGGAGGAGTAGAGTGCAATCTCTTGGCCTGCCAGGGGGGATGGGGGTATGTGGCCAGCAGGACGAGGCCCAGAGCCATAGCAGTGTTTGAAATGGTTTTGAAAGCACAAGCAGGCGTCTATCAGCAGACCGGTCCGCTAATAGATGCCTGCTTTCAAACGCTCCCATGTGTATCTGTGTAAACGCTCGTCATGGAAGTATATTTACATGTTTTTGAAGCACTGATCATTGTAGCCAATCACAGATATATTTGATGAGCCCGTGAGAACATTGAGCAATCAGAGGTGTTTACGATTCCACTCAACAGCGCTAAAAGCATCTCATTTTTAAAATGTCAGTACCGACTTGATATCGAAGGAGAAAGGAGAAAATTTAACGTGACTTTGAGGGGACAAAGCAAAACATAATTTGACCATCAACCACACAAACCGCTAATACTTTTTCATATACTGTTTACTTTCATTGTATAACAGTTCTATCTAATAACGTATTAGACAAGACTGTTAAACAGATCGTAAACTAATGAAGACTGTGAGCTCAGGTGTTCTCAGTGCGGTCAAAATAAAAGTCACAACAACAAGCGCGGCTTACGTCACTTCAGAGTTCCTACTAGCGGTGCGAATGCAACCAGGAAAACGGCCCTAGGGGAAACCACTAGTTCTCGGGGAACAACCCTGGTGGCTAGTTCCTATAACTAAGTTCCCAATACTACCCGGTGCAAAAGCCCCTATTGATGATATCTAGGTGAAAGAGTCTCTGTGTTTGCATTTATCTGACTTCTGTGAGTGAGGCGGCTAGCAGATGGTGGTGTAGCCAGTCTGTCTGCTTACTGAACTGCCCCGACAACCCAGCCGCTGAGTTAAGTGTGGGCTTTTTGCATCGGCTTCAGGAGAGAGCAGTGCTCAGCACTGACGAATCGATGCATTTCTTTGGTGAAATACATTTTTGTATATGTTAACATTATTTAATCTAAGCTTTTACTGTGTTATAAATTATTTCATTTTATGAAATGCAACATACAGGGATGAGATTTCAGTCAGCAAAAAGTGTCAGTCAGCATCAGTCATTTTGCATGATGATTTTTTACAATTATTATACTGAATCTAATTAGAAATATGTTGTCAGAACTCTGTACTTTGTTTATGTACATGTTATAGGGAGTCATTTACAACTTTTGCCTATCAGAAACGGTGGTCTGAACATCAGCACAGGCTCAGAATCCACCACTCATTGGCCCGAAAACCTGCACCATTTTGGTAGAAGAGATAACTATGGAAGCTTGTTTCCGCCATGAAATAATTGATTTTTTAAAAGATAATTGTGACTTTTTATCTCACAATTCTGGCTTTTTAAAACTTGCATATTTCTGAGTTATAAAGATTAATTCTGAGGGGAAAAAGTAATCTCACAATTCCGACATTTTCTCACAATTGTGAGTTTATATATCACTATTATGACGTTATAACACGCAAATGTGTGTTTAAATCACTAGGGCTGTAGTCAACCAAAGAAATCCTTAGTCGACCAAAGTCTTGTCCTGCGCAACGATTAGTCGACTAAAAAAAAAAGAAAAAAAAGACGCGATGCTTTGATTGAAATTTTTTTTTAACAATTGTCATAGAGCATTTATAAAACAACAACGAAAAAACATCAAAAATACATAAAACTATAATAATAATAATACAATTCTTTGAAAATTAAGTGATTTTTTTTAACTGCAAAAAGTGAGGAGCACTGTCCTAGGTCTATAGTAACAGTCATAATCGCGCACCTGACCACACCACACGCTACAAAAAATATAACTGCTATCTGCCACATAATGAAACATCCTAACAAAAGCTCTCGTTTATACAGGCTGTATATTCTTCTTTACTTTCAAAGCTATGGGTTAACTTTTGTCCAGCCGATCTAGGCGTTTTAAAACAAACACACAAAAAACCCAGAGAGCCTAAAAAACAATCCTAATAATAATAGGCTGTATTGTAGGACCGCATATAGGTTTATTTTCGTTTTGTTACATTATTTAGGCTATTTTCAAATACTTCAAGTGTACAAATAAAAACAAAAACATATCAAGAAAACACAATCTATTGAGTCAGCATGATAAAGCCATTAAAGGGACTGCTCACGTCTTTTGCGCGCTCAAGTTCGATTTCAAATGTAGGCGCGCGGTGTGCGCGCTCATGATGGAAGCAACGCGGTCGCGGTGCGACGCGCTCTTTTTTTTCCGAGTGCGTCCACGCCGCATCGAGATAAAAACATATAATGTATAAAAACCGAAACAAGTAGCGTTCTAACTGAATGAATACAGCTAAACTACCTATATCCCTTACTGAGCACGAAGCAGCAGCGCAGCCAGCCACCGAGTGTTCTATGTGTGTGTGCTAAACTGTGGCGCTGTTACAAAATAGCCTAAATTAAAGCATTTAAAGTTGGGGATAAACCATAGGCTAATTATATTTAGAATACAGTAATATATAACTGCTTATAAAGGAATACAAATCAATGAGTAAATCATTGAAAATTTCTTTCTATTGGTAAAAAAAAAAAAAAAAAAAAACCGGTCGACCAATAAGAATGTCAGTCGACCAAGACGGCATCGACCGATTAGTCGACTAAACGACTAAAGTTGACAGCCCTATAAATCACGCATTTGTCAGAATTGAGAGATGTAAACGCAATTGCAAGAAAAAAGTCGCAATTACCCGTTTTTTTCTTTATTCAGTGGCGGAAGCAAGCTTCCATAGATAACAGAGAACGGCTGATTACGCTTGAAATGTTACTCTTAAATGTTAAATGTTTATTTCTAAAATGTTTGTTAAATAAGTTGAAATGTATGTATACATTAATAACAACTGAACTGTATTCATCCAAAATAAGGGTTGTATAATGTAAACACAATGGTTGCTGTGCTGTGTATTTTACAAATTTTAATCTGGAGATATCTGGTAATATTAACCCATGTATGAGGTACAAACAAGCTTTATTGTAAAAGGAACTAGCATATCAACCTATATGGTGAGTTTAATGAACAACCCAACATGCTAAGTTAGAATAACCCACGGTTGGTCCATCAGTTGATTGCAAAACAACCCAAACCGGGTTACTTTCCACCCATGTTTTTTTTAGAATGCATAATCTTTACAAAAAGAGTACTTTTAGGCATAAGTACACATGTTCGCCTTGTTGCCAGAATGATTGTTTTACAATGTAATGCAGGGATGGTTGTATGGAATGCAGATTTTAAAACCGTTTCAAATCAAATCAATATTTCATGTCCACATAATTATTTATTTAGTGAAAAGTGTGACTGTGCATTGCCCCTTAAATGTTCATCTTTCATCTTTTGCTCAAAGCTGCTTGCTAGGAATTTTTCTTTGCGTAAGCTTCGGATCAGGATCCTGATCACCCGGTGATTTAATCTAATATTTGATGTTTTTTTTTTTTGTAGATTTAAGTAGCAAATGAGAATCGCTAATCGCTATTTTAAGACAAAGGTCTTGTTAATGATTTTCATTTTTTTTTCAAGGTAATTAAAGCAACAGTTTTTCAGTAACAGAGGAATATGTAAAAGTATGGTATTTGCACCTTAGAGATAATCACCATATGTATAATGTGATGTTTTATTATATGATATGATTAATATCATATGTATTTGTTACTACTAAATACAATTATAAAGGGATCCTTCAGTGCTTTCAGAATCGTATGTTTCTGTTTTTTTTATATAGTATAACATTTTAATGACAGTATCTTTATTGAACGAAAAAATAGCCTATTATATTTATCAAAATAAACAGAAAATAGTAGAAACTTTGCAAAAGTGATTGTTTTGAACAAGTAATAACTTAGACATTATTCAAAACATATAACTTTAGATAAAGTATTTGCATTAACACTGTGTGTCATTTACCCCGTGTGTCTGTAAAAGGTCCTCCCTGAAACCTCATACATTTATAAGACTTTTAAACAAAACAAACCACTTTTATGATTCATTTCCATACTAAATTTGTTTACAATGTTCAATACAAACATATACTTTTCCCCGCAATCATAGCCTACAGTATGAGAGTAGTGAAAAGAACATGTATTAAGGTGTGCCTTTAGCCGCGTTGTAACACCTGGGCAAAGGCGTCTCTAGACCATACATAAAAGGATCAATTCAGTCTATATATTTGTAAGTTTGAATATATAATGAGGTGATGTTCAGTCTTACCCCCCTGCAGGAGTCCTGTGAGACACAGCACCAGCGTCAGGTGCCACAGCCGGCACCCGAAGTCCAACATCCTTAATCTGATCGATCCTTTCGCTTTCTCTCTCATCTTCTCAGTTCAAGTTAACACAGGTCCGGCCCGGTTCTGCCACAGCAGCATAACTCAAACCCTCAGTAAGTTGATACTGTAATAATATATTGGCGAAACAGGTTTGGGAAACGCTTCCGTGCGTATTTGTGTTTGCGCTCTGGACTGGAGATCCTCTAATGTACAACGTGTTTTTGCTGAGTTGAGCAATGCAGCCAATCACAGACATAGTTGTTGATCTTTTGAACACAACGGCCAATCAGAGGAGTTTTAGTGACTGTAAAGGGAGCGGTCTTGGCTCGCGTTCGAGGCTAATCCATTGAATAAAACTTGTTTTACAGGATACAATCTGAAGTGATATCTACATGCTGGATTCACTCTGCGAGGGACAGATATTACATGTTGAAATAGTAACGCATTAAAGCAATGTAAAGGCAGACATAGATTAATAGAAAATAATCGTGTAGCGAAATATTTTGAAAATCATTTACCAATTATTGTTAAAAGTGACGACTTGTAATTTAAATAATCTTAAATAGTCTCACTGTACACTGCTATGGTGAAATTGTTGCTTGCACTCTTAAAAATGAAGGTTCTTTATTGGCATCAATGGTTAAAGAGCTTTAACATGGAATCTTTTCATTGCACAGAAGGTTCTTTATAGCAGAAACTGGTTCTTTATATATATTTTTTGTTTTTATGACTGCACATCTGCACGTTATACAGCCTCAGTGATTTGATTCCTCAACCGGGCCTGATACAGGTTTCAACAAGAGCTCCTGAACATGATCATCTTCTCTGACGCAAGAGACTGTGACTTTCACACAAAACGAACATGTCTGTGAACAACAACTGAAATCTTACTAATCATCTCAGTTACATTTTACAGCCCTTTTTTACTTTTGTGTGTGTGTGTGTGTATTTTGATTACTATAATGTTTGCAGGCCAACCAGTAATTTCAAGATGTTCACAATTTGTTAATGTAATATTAAACTGAAGCCAATAAACAATAAACAACTATCATTCACACTTTTTAAGGGAGGTTGCCCAAAAATGAAGATTCTGTCATCATTTACTATCATGTCATTCCAAACATGTATGACTTTCTTTCTTTGAATCACTGGGTAACATGTGAACGAATAAGCATCTGGACATATACATACAAACACAGTTTCAAAAACTAAAGTTTTCAGGGAAACTTTTATCAGATCTCTAGAAATCAGCCAAGAAGAGATTTAATATTTAGAATGTTTTTAATTAAATAAAACAATCACAAACATTTTGGTTTCTTAAATTTGTGTAAGAAAAATAATAAAAAAGGGCATTATTATTCACATTCCACCCAACAAACACCCTCTAAACCAGTGGTTCTCCACCCTTTTTTCTCCAAATCGATACCACAAGATCCCCTTGACATGTCCGATACTGTACTTCTGCAGCAGAGAGAAGTGTTTGCTTTAAAACATTTTTTATTAAAAAAACAACATTTGTTTCCTAGTTGCCTCGGCTTGCTTAGCTGGGGACATTTAATATTCAACAATATTATTGATCTTACTTCAGGTGGCCGATGCCGCGATTTTCTTCTAGAAACAAAGTTGTTATCACTGTGAAGCTGCTTTGATACAATCTGTATAGTAAAAAACACTATATAAATAAAGGTGACTTGACTAGTGTTATTACTCTTCTACTGAATGCTATTTTTTAAACAAAATAAATTCAAGGTAGACTTAAACCTTCAGAATTATCCCGCTTTGACCCGACTGCATTTCTGCTACTATACAGACCCATTCAGAGTTACTAAACACAGCAGAAAAACATTGTGAATGTGTCAAAACGCATAAGTGAACCAAACTCTCCACTTCTTCTGTGAGCATCCGTTATGAAACACTCGCAGGACAGTCGTTTTGCAGACTGAATGTGTTATGCAGAAATATGATGTTATAGCGATCAGTGAGGCGAGAGCGCACACACACGGTTTGTTTACACATCAATAATAATGGACTCACTCGCGCATGCCTAATGTACTAAACTCCTGTATTTACCTTCATTTACCCTGAGCTCAACCCCCGGTATACCCTCACACAGCCACTTCTCCAGCTTTCTCCAACACTCTTCGTCTAAATAAATATCTTGCATTTAACTGGAATATACATTAATTACATTTATTTAAAATACCTTTCCACTTCTCTCACACGCTTCTGTCAATCACAGGCATACAGTGCACACATACGGGGCTAAATACATGTTTTCTGCATTGATTACTCATAAAATGTGGTTTGATCTTCCTCTAGGTCACAATTATTGACGATCATAATCTGACTAAACTAACACACAGTTGAACATGTATGATATTGAGTGATCATTGACAGGGCAGGCTGGATACGGTCATTGGAAATCCAGATATATTGTTTTAAAGGGTTCACAAATGTATTCTCGCCATTAATGTAAAACATTGATAGTCATCATTTTTATTCAGACTCCTCTCATCTCGTTCAAACACAGGCTTCCCATCCGCTCCACCCGCTGTAGGATGTGTTTATCATTCCCTTCATTATCTCCTCCAGTGTTGTCCTTCTCACTCCTCCACCAATGTTTGTCTGTTATCTTCCCCAGCTGACGAAACTTCACTGCTGATCTCCCCGTCTGTTCTCCACCAGATACTGTGTGTCTCTGTGTGCTCAAATCCAGATCTGAACTAGGACGGTCCTTCGTGTTGTTTCTTGTCCTCTGGCACAGGCATGCCGCTGGTTCTTTAGTCTGAATCAGAGTTATTTACACCACAATCTTGTAACTTTTGCTCATTTTTGACTCATTTCCGGTGGATCATTGTTCTCCTTCATGTCTTGTTCTGGCTCTCTGTGCACTATCACCTCTGGTCGAGTTAAGTCGTGTCCACCATGTTGAATTTGTAATTGCACTTCAGTTTCTCCTTCATTTTGCATAACCTTTGCATTATGTTCAATCAGTTTAAAGCTTTGGTCTTTATCAGTCATCTTTGATTTATTTGGCACTTCTTTATCTTGTTTACTCAACCCATCGCCGAGCTGCCGCTGAGACACAGTTTATTGCACTGTTTAATCCGTGTGTTAACGCAGCTTTGCTCCTCAGATATCTCTGGCTCGGGTGTTTTTCCTTCTGCCTTTTGTTCCTGATTTGTTACAACCGTTTCTTCCTCATCCGGCTCTGATCCAGAAAGTTCCCTTACTACTTCTTCTTCCTGGTCTTGATCAGTTTGATTTGAAGACGAGTCAGTTTATAGGTTTCTTCTCCGGGTTAGCCGGTGAATCTGTAACGAAATTGAACAAGATAAGAACATCCACTCTAAATGACAATATCAATCTTCTGAATCTGAACTGGGTGTGTAGAGAATAAGTTCACAGTTAAAGTCAGATCAGATCAGATGTTTATTTCAGAATCAAGTTCTGTTCCTCCAGACAAACATGTAATCTGTATTTTACCTGTGTCTCCTCTGTCTTTCGTCTCTTCTTTCTCTCCTGGCGTCTGATCATCCTCACGGTTATCTTCAGTTTTCCTCTCGTTCTGATGCTCAGGAAACTCCTCTTCATTTCGACTGTTCTCTTTCTCCTCTTCTTCTAGTCTCTGTTTATGTCTCTCCTTCTCAGTTTCATCAGGATCGCTGGGAGTGTTTTCTTCAACTCCATGTTCGCTGTTCTTCACATTTTGGTCTAGTTCTCCTTCATTTCCACTTTCGGTGTCCTCATGGTTTGTTTCTGACACAGCAGATTGTGGACTCTGTTCAAGAGTTTGTGTTTGCACTTCTTCATCACTTGGGTCAGTTTGATTTGAAGACGAGTCACTGCTGTTTATAGGTTTCTTCTCCGGGTTAGCTGGTGAAACTGTAACTACAAAAGAAACGTCATCCAATCATTGAAAAAACAGTTTGTTCAAATGACTAATAAAATGGCAATATCAATCTTCTGAATCTGAACTGGGTGTGTAGAGAATAAGTTCACAGTTAAAGTCAGATCAGATGAGATGTTTATTTCAGAATCAAGTTCTGTTTCTCCAGACAAGCATATGTGATGCGCTCTGGGAAAACCCACCACATGGTGAAATTTGACATATTGCAGGTTTTGAGACCATATTAAAAGCTGGATTCAAGCCCTTTCCAAATTAGTTTTTATTTCTTTTATTGTTTGTCTGTAACAAAAGTTGTGGTTATCTGAAGTCGGCTGATCGCTATGATTTTCAGAAACGGACTTTTGATAAAAAAACGGTTTAATGAACTGTCATTAGCGGGACGACCGGCGCTCTTTTTCTATTGCCTTTTTTTCACATCACATATTTTAGTAATCATCATAGATTAGGTATCATTCGAAAGCTTACGAACTCAAAATTCATCCCGTGAAAACCGTTTTGAAATTGGACGATTGAGAGGCGAGCGAGGTCTTTTACGCGAGCAGCTTCAGACTCTTGTTCTCTTGTGCTCCGCATCACACCACACGATAACGCTGGATAAAAATAAATCAAAAACTTGCGTGCCGTTGTAGTTTACACAGGGCTGGCGGGACCTTTATTCTGTTATGTGGTTTATTTTAATAGGCGAAACTGTTAACCCTTAAAGACCTAGACCATTTTTGGAGCACCTGCACCGCCTGTCCTTTTATTTGTTTTTCTAACCCATTATAGCAGTCAGCATCAAGTGTCATATATCATTTTTAACAGGAGAACTTGAAGTTTCAATCTATCTCATTTAAATAATCCAATTTTACATTTATTTTGTCTTAGAATGGATGAATTTACCAGATTTAAGAAAAACGGCAGCATATTTTTTGTGATTTTTTTTTACTCAACTCAAACAAATCCTCCTGAAGTTTGGATTTTTTCCTTTAGAAAGCTGTACTTGGATATTCTACATTTCCAGATGTAATTTTGACTACATGTAACAATCCCTAAGCAGGTTATAGCCATTTATTACAACATTATTATAGGCGATTTTCAGTGAAAAGCTGGTGTTTTTTATTTACTGACAATTTAGATGTGTCCAAAAAAGTTTAGGAAGTAAAATAAATAGAAACATTGTAATAGAACACTGAAGCAAAAGAAACATTATATGTATTAAAACACACACGCACACACACACACACACACACACACACATAGCCTATATGAACTACTTTCACTTTACCTCAGTTCAAATTTCCAAAGAATGATGCTAGTTGTTCGTGCAAAAGACCAAGAACTATGTTTATTGGTTGAGTAGATGATAGTTTCAACCAATCTGGGCATGAGGGTGGGTCTAAGCATCAACAGTCATTCATGATTGGCTCAGAGGAACAAACCACACGGGTTTCTTTGACGAATCAATGCTGATCAAAACTTGATGACGCAATCACATTCACTACGGAGCTTCTGAATGTCCAAACGCGATTAACCCGATATCACAGAAAAGCCGTGAATCTCCTCTTTATGGGACTTTTTAAAGCATACGGATTGGAGTAGCGGTTCAAAAGTTATTTAACATTTAAGAACAACAGTTATTTTTAGCCGCCGGCGGCTGTATAGGTCTTTAAGGGTTAAGAGAAGGAGAGCTAAATGGGCGATTTAGTTTTTTGCCCCTCTGCTCCGCCATGCGTGTTCTTATAGAGAAAGAGTGTTTTCAGCTCGCCACTATAAATCGCTATTTTTCTGCCCTAAACTAGTGAATTTCCCAAGATGTATTCAGAGATGATAAACAAGATGTTATAGAGTAATCATTTATTGAAAACCCAATCTATTCAATCTATTTTTAGACCTTACTGAAACCGTACCAGCGCGACATCCGACGGGTTTTCCCAGATCGCATCACATGTAATCTGTATTTTACCTGTGTCTCCTCTGTCTTTCGTCTCTTCTTTCTCTCCTGGCGTCTGATCATCCTCACGGTTATCTTCAGTTTTCCTCTCGTTCTGATGCTCAGGAAACTCCTCTTCATTTCGACTGTTCTCTTTCTCCTCTTCTTCTAGTTTCTGTTTATGTCTCTCCTTCTCAGTTTCATCAGGATCGCTGGGAGTGTTTTCTTCAACTCCATGTTCGCTGTTCTTCACTTTTTTGTCTAGTTCTCCTTCATTTCCACTTTCGGTGTCCTCATGGTTTGTTTCTGACACAGCAGATTGTGGACTCTGTTTAAGAGTTTGTGTTTGCACTTCTTCATCTCGTCTACTCGACTCATCATCGTGTCCCAGCTGACACACACTGGTTATTGCACTGTCTGAATCAGTTTGTTTGCAGCTTTGGGTCTCTTGATCAGCATTTTTTTCTTCTGTCTTTTGTTCCTGGCCATGTTCCTGTTCCTGTCCGGGACGTTTTCTTTCCTCTTCTTTGACTTGTTCTGTGTAATTACTTGGGTCAGTTTGATTTGAAGACGAGTCACTGCTGTTCATTGGTTTCTTCTCCGGGTTAGCCGGTGAATCTGTAACGAAATTGAACAAGATAAGAACATCCACTCATTCAAAACACTGTTCAAATGACTAATAAATGGCAATATCAATCTTCTGAATCTGACCTGGGCGTGTAGAGAATAAGCACACAGGCAGAAACTCACCCGCCGGAGAACTGAGAGCTTCGCCGTCCAGCGGCGGATCCACGGCGGGACGAACGCCAGCCTCGGCTGAAAGAAGCAGAAACACAGATCAGATCAGATGTTTATTTCAGAATCCAGAGATTTGTCTGCAAGGTTTTGTTTCTCCAGACAAACACATCATCTGCATTTCACCTGTGTTTGTTCGGCCTATCCCGTCCAGGTTTTTCTCCTCACTTCTCTCTTCTTTCCCTCCTGGTCTCATGTCATCCTCACGATTATCCACATCTTTGGTTTTCTGATTTCTCATGCTCTCATTCGGCTGCTCCGCTGATTGTTCATCTTCCTCACTTTGGCTCTTCTTCTCATATTGGTGTCGTTGTTCTGCTTCATTTTCTGAATCCATAGAGTTTCTTTCTGTCACAGCAGATTGTTGACTCACAGTCTCTATGGTTTCAAAATTAAAAAAAAAAAAAAAAAAAAAAAATTGTGTCAAACTATTGATAGGTTAATGCTTCTGATATTGAGGTCTGCTTTAAACCCTTAGTTTTTCAGTAGAATACAAAAGGAGAATTTTTGAAATCTTCACACAACTCATTTATTCAACAGTTCAAAGTGACCAATATCAAAACGGACAAAAACTCAAAATCACCATGAAATTACCATAAAAGTAGTCCATATATCATGTGTTATATTCCAAATCTCCTTAAGATGTATGATAATCTTGTGTGACAAAATATGTGTAATTTGAGAGTTGTGTTGGGGAAACCTTTCAGTGAATAACACTTAGGTCTGTTTGCTATAAGCTATTACATAAATACTTATGGATAGGAACATAGCGCACAAGCTACATGAATGAAACTTTTATAAAGCTTTCTAATGTAGTTTGTGGAGCTTGAAAAGATGCTTGATCTATCTTTTTAACAGAAAATCACTAAATTAATTGTGTGAAAAAAGCCTTAAAGCTCCTTCAATGTAAATTTAAATACATTACAAAAGTAATAAAATTGGTATTTAATATCCAGATGAGATGTTTATTTCAGAATCAAGTTCTGTTCCTCCAGACAAACATGTAATCTGTATTTTACCTGTGTCTCCTCTGTCTTTCGTCTCTTCTTTCTCTCCTGGCGTCTGATCATCCTCACGGTTATCTTCAGTTTTCCTCTCGTTCTGATGCTCAGGAAACTCCTCTTCATTTCCGCTCTCCTGTTTCTGACTGTTCTCTTTCTCCTCTTCTTCTAGTCTCTGTTTTTGTCTCTCCTTCTCAGTTTCATCAGGATCGCTGTGAGTGTTTTCTTCTGCTTCAACTGCATGTTCGCTGTTCTTCACATTTTGGTCTAGTTCTCCTTTATTTCCACTTTCGGTGTCCTCATGGTTTGTTTCTGACACAGCAGATTGTGGACTCTGTTTAAGAGTACATTTGTTTGTTTCCTTCAAAGGTTTGTGTCCTTCATTAGTTTCACCTGAACTCTCTGCTCCGTTGCCCTGATCCCATTTTTTATCCATAATAGATTGGTTTTGAGGGGGAAGTCTGGCGTGACTAGGGAGCGTGGCTTCAGACGAACCTGAAACAAAGCATTCAAAGACATTAACAGCAGATTCAAGAGTCATTCATTCTCCATGAGAGCTGAGAGTGAGTTTATAGTGCGATCCAGCAACACGAGCGACCGCCACCACTGCAATATCATGCCAGCATGTCAGTGATAGTAATAGTAAATCATTTGGAAGTGGTACCTGGCATAACGTCCTTTTGGTAATTTCTCATCAGGCTATGGCCTTCACCTACATTGATAGAAAACATTTTTATTATACAAAAAGGTTGCTTGGTTGCGGCAAAAAAAAATCATAATCACAATTATTTTGGTCAATATTGTAATCACAATTTAACACGATTATGAGTGGGCCATATGACCAAACCTAATTTATTTAATGATAGCAATATATATATCAAGTATATAATAGAATGGAAATAAGTGGATTATTATGGATTATTATTAAAGTAACACAAGTCCTTCAGAGATTTTCTCTTTGTCTTTTGTTTGATAAACATTAAGGACACAGAAAGCAATAGATTTATTAGGCTGATGTCACTTTAAAGACCGAATGCACGGATCCAATACACCGATTCACATTATATTTTCTCCCAACTGTTTACGTTCAGCAACCGAACCGAATTTATCAAACTTGTATAAATCAGCAAATAAAGTGTCTGATAGAAGTAGGCAAAAGGGGCTGCAATATACGTTCGAAGGCTATATTCACGACATAGAGATGAAACGCATCCAAATAGAGGCAAAAGCATACCGGTCACAGTCAACAAATGACCCACTGCATATCCTACTAATGGAGACGGAGGCTGGGACTAACAATATCACGGAGCAACACTGTTCATGCAAAGCTGGAGGTCTCTATTCACTTCTATAATCGTTATTACACAGCATACCGACTACGCGAGTATAACGTTGTATTTATTAGCAGCGTGTGCTAGACGACACTTGTCAGGATTTGACTTCGGTTTGGGAAGGGAAAAAAATGGACACCCCCCTCCAACCTCTCTGGGAAACGCGTATCTGTGTTACAAATGCCCCAGGCACAACGCTTAACCATATTTTTGATAAAGCTACGACGGTTATAGACCAAAAATATGAGACGCCTGTGTTAAAGTCAACGGAGCGCTGTGAAAAAGTGTCGGACCTCTGTGGGAGCTCGTTCTTGGCTGCGCTGTGATTGGCCAATCTACATTCTAGGGTGTGGCTTAGCCAAAGGCGAATTGAGATTAATCACGCAACCCGAGCTCGTGCTATATTACCTCTCCATTCGAGTGAATTGACTGCAGTGTTTATAAATAACAAGAACTGTCAATCGTTGCAAAGTCCTGCCTATTTAAGAGCTCATTCAATCCTCAAATACATAAGACAGGCTAGCAGGGCAGGACATTATATGCAGATTATAGGCAAATATCATTTAGTGTAGGCAAATTCAGTCCGAGAGAGCCGCTGTCCAGCAGAGTTCAGCTGCCTGTGGCTATAGAGATCCTGGAGACCTTGGTTGGCTTGATCGGGTGTGTTTGATCAGGGTTGGAGCTGAACTCTGCAGGACTGAACTAGCCTACCCCTGATTTAGTCAATCCCATGCTTAGAGGTTCAGGTCTTTGTCCCTTTAAAATCAATGGTTTAACTATCTTCCATAAACTCCAATTGAAGCCCTATAGGGCATGTTTGAGTCTTTTTGTTAATGACCGACTCTTTTGTTAATTAAATAATTTTTCTTTCTTTTTTTAAGTCAAACTGGATGTCCAAAGGAAAAAAATATTTAAAGATATTTAAAATTCAAACATTGAAAGCATTAGAGTTAAAAATCCAGCATTTTCCTGTACAAACCCTGATCTTACCATTTTCAAGGTCCATTTTCTTCAAGGCAGACTGTCTTGCTGCTCATCCACGTACAAGAGAAAACAGAAAATGGTGTTAATCTTTGTAATATAAAAAAGTATTTTGAGTATTTTCATGTCACTTACACTTTTCTTTACGTCTGTATAAGAATACTCCCAGTAGAATAAGCAGGATGAGGAGAAGTAATGCTATTATTATGACTGGAACCAGCACAGCAGTCGCTGCTCTCCCTGCACACATAAGACAGTGTAAACGTAAAGCATCTGCGTCACAGTCTCCAGGCATCTAAACAGTGGTGTTGAATGATGGTCTAGCACACCTGTGGGGCAGTCTGCCAGAGTAAAGTCTGTGCTCCTGCTGTTAGCTTGATTCTTCACAGTGCAGGTATAGACCGAGTCACGGTTCTCCTCCTGTTCTTCAACAAGAAGCTCTGGTCCCGGGTGAACCCTTATATTCGGTCCACTCCACTTATAGCTCGGCTGAGTTCGGGATTCCACCGAACACAACAGCTTTTTAACATCTGAAGTCTCACCCGGTTCACAGGTCACCTGAGGCTCTGGCAGAACATCTAAGACCCAAAAGCAGAGAGCCATTAGTGATCATCAGTGGATATTTGGTCATTCTGAGATTACTAATCAATAACTAAAACTGTTTCAGTTAATAATCAAGGTTATTGATTATTAATCAATAACCTTGTTACTGTCACTTTCTCTGTTTTAAATATTTTAGTATATTTATGGGCAAATATTGTATTATTTATTATTTATAAATCATCAAGCCATGTGTAACTTCCTCGACCATAACAGAGACAAACTAACACCACAGAGGGTTAAATTACTCTTTTGATAGATTCATTCCCTGGTTTCTGTATCCGGTTTCATTCAATTTCACGTTTTTCATTTCCCACGTATGTTTGATTGTGTGTATGTGTTTAGATGAGTTATTCTTGATTTAGTTAAAGGGATACTCCACCCAAAAATGAAAATTCTGTCATCATTTACTCACCCTCAAGTTGTTGCAAACCTGTGTGAGTTTCTTTCTTCTGCTGAACACAAAGGAAGATATTTAAGAACAATTGGAACTTTGGCACCATTCCATCGTTCTTCAATATCTTCCTTTGTGTTCAGCAGAAGAAAGAAACTCACACAGGTTTGCAACAACTTGAGGGCGAGTAAATGATGACAGAATTTTCATTTTTGGGTGGAGTATCCCTTTAAAGGTGGGGTAACACTGGGTAACACTGGGTAACACTGGGTAACACTGGGTAACACTGAGTAACACTGGGTAACACTGAGTAACACTGGGTAACACTGGGTAACACTGGGTAACACTGGGTAACACTGGGTAACACTACACTGAGTAACACTGGGTAACACTGAGTAACACTGAGTAACACTGAGTAACACTGGGTAACACTGAGTAACACTGAGTAACACTGGGTAACACTGGGTAACACTGGGTAACACTGAGTAACACTGGGTAACACTGGGTAACACTACACTGAGTAACACTGGGTAACACTGAGTAACACTGAGTAACACTGGGTAACACTGGGTAACACTGGGTAACACTGGGTAACACTACACTGGGTAACACTACACTGGGTAACACTACACTGGGTAACACTACACTGGGTAACACTACACTGGGTAACACTGGGTAACACTGGGTAACACTGGGTAACACCGGGTAACACCGGGTAACACTACACTGGGTAACACTGGGTAACACTGGGTAACACTGAGTAACACTGGGTAACACTGGGTAACACTGGCACTGGGTAACACTGAGTAACACTGAGTAACACTGAGTAACACTGAGTAACACTGGGTAACACTGGGTAACACTGGGTAACACTGGGTAACACTGGGTAACACTACACTGAGTAACACTGGGTAACACTGAGTAACACTGAGTAACACTGAGTAACACTGAGTAACACTGGGTAACACTGGGTAACACTGGGTAACACTGAGTAACACTGAGTAACACTGGGTAACACTGGGTAACACTACACTGAGTAACACTGGGTAACACTGAGTAACACTGAGTAACACTGAGTAACACTGGGTAACACTGGGTAACACTGGGTAACACTGGGTAACACTACACTGGGTAACACTACACTGGGTAACACTACACTGGGTAACACTACACTGGGTAACACTGGGTAACACTGGGTAACACTGGGTAACACTGGGTAACACTGGGTAACACTGAGTAACACTGGGTAACACTGGGTAACACTACACTGGGTAACACTACACTGGGTAACACTACACTGGGTAACACTACACTGGGTAACACTACACTGGGTAACACTGGGTAACACTACACTGGGTAACACTACACTGGGTAACACTACACTGGGTAACACTACACTGGGTAACACTGGGTAACACTACACTGGGTAACACTACACTGGGTAACACTACACTGGGTAACACTACACTGGGTAACACTACACTGGGTAACACTGGGTAACACTACACTGGGTAACACTGGGTAACACTACACTGGGTAACACTGGGTAACACTACACTGGGTAACACTGGGTAACACTGGGTAACACTACACTGGGTAACACTACACTGGGTAACACTACACTGGGTAACACTACACTGGGTAACACTGGGTAAGACTACACTGGGTAACACTACACTGGGTAACACTACACTGGGTAACACTACACTGGGTAACACTACACTGGGTAACACTACACTGGGTAACACTGGGTAACACTACACTGGGTAACACTACACTGGGTAACACTACACTGGGTAACACTACACTGGGTAACACTACACTGGGTAACACTGGGTAACACTACACTGGGTAACACTGGGTAACACTACACTGGGTAACACTGGGTAACACTACACTGGGTAACACTACACTGGGTAACACTACACTGGGTAACACTACACTGGGTAACACTACACTGGGTAACACTACGTAACACTGGGTAACACTACACTGGGTAACACTGGGTAACACTACACTGGGTAACACTACACTGGGTAACACTACACTGGGTAACACTACACTGGGTAACACTGAGTAACACTACACTGGGTAACACTACACTGGGTAACACTACACTGGGTAACACTACACTGGGTAACACTACACTGGGTAACACTACACTGGGTAACACTGGGTAACACTACACTGGGTAACACTGGGTAACACTACACTGGGTAACACTACACTGGGTAACACTGGGTAACACTACACTGGGTAACACTGAGTAACACTACACTGGGTAACACTGGGTAACACTACACTGGGTAACACTACACTGGGTAACACTACACTGGGTAACACTACACTGGGTAACACTACACTGGGTAACACTACACCGGGTAACACTACACTGGGTAACACTACACTGGGTAACACTACACTGGGTAACACTGGGTAACACTACACTGGGTAACACTACACTGGGTAACACTACACTGGGTAACACTACACTGGGTAACACTACACTGGGTAACACTACACTGGGTAACACTACACTGGGTAACACTACGTAACACTGGGTAACACTGGGTAACACTACACTGGGTAACACTGGGTAACACTGGGTAACACTACACTGGGTAACACTACACTGGGTAACACTACACTGGGTAACACTACACTGGGTAACACTGGGTAACACTACACTGGGTAACACTACACTGGGTAACACTACACTGGGTAACACTACACTGGGTAACACTACACTGGGTAACACTACACTGGGTAACACTACACTGGGTAACACTACACTGGGTAACACTGGGTAACACTACACTGGGTAACACTGGGTAACACTGGGTAACACTACACTGGGTAACACTACACTGGGTAACACTACACTGGGTAACACTACACTGGGTAACACTACACTGGGTAACACTACGTAACACTGGGTAACACTACACTGGGTAACACTGGGTAACACTGGGTAACACTACACTGGGTAACACTACACTGGGTAACACTACACTGGGTAACACTACACTGGGTAACACTGGGTAACACTACACTGGGTAACACTACACTGGGTAACACTACACTGGGTAACACTACACTGGGTAACACTACGTAACACTGGGTAACACTGGGTAACACTACACTGGGTAACACTGGGTAACACTGGGTAA